CAAGCGGGATAGGAGCAATGATTTAGCAGTATCAGAATATCAGGGACAATTCATGGAAGAAGAGAATAGCTTTTCTTGAGAAAACATTAGGAAGAGACTGGGACAGACAAGGTATTGGTCGACTTTATCTTTAAGATGTAAAACAATCATTAGCAAGATTGATTAGCAGATATGTGGAAGGAAGGCAATAATGTGGGAATTTGTGATTGTTTGCTTCTAACTACCCCATGGATTCATTAATTTTTCTATATATTTAAAGGTATGGATGACAAGAATGCAACAAAGTTGAATGAGCTCATTCAGGTTGGGTAAGTACAAGATACTGTATATGCTTGTTGTGTTCATTCACTGACTACAGAAGTTGAAATGTGCTGTTTTTATTTTGTTTTTCTTTTCTTTTGCTCTGAGCCTGTTGTGTGTGAGTTGTGACACTTGTGTGGAGGTCAGGGGACAACTTCTGGCAGTCACTTCTGCTGTGGTAAACACAGATTGAACTCAGGTCATCAGGCTGTTCAGTGTTCTAATTTTCTTTTTGTTGCTCTGATAGTATAACCAAAAGACAGTTAGGAGAGGAAAGGGTCATTTTGGCTTATACTTTAAGGCAGGGCTGAAACTGAAGCAAAAACCATGGAGGAATGGTGCTTCCTGGCTTGCTTCCTAGCTTGTGCTCAGCTACCCTTCTAATATAGCCCAGGCCCACCTGCTGATGAATGATTCTTCCCACAGTGAAAAAAAGCAGCCAGAGACATACTGTACCTAAGAACTAAAGGACTTTTTAAAAAAATCATAGACAATATAAGACAGACACTGAGAACAGTTGTAAACAGGATTAAAAAAGAAAGAAATAAATAGAAACAGGCAGATCACCGAGTTCAAGGCCAGACTGGTCTATAAATTTAGTCCAGGGCAGCCAGGGCTACACAGAGAAATCCTGACTCTAAAAACAAAAGAATGGAAACAAAATGATCCAGTCAGAAGCCATCAGAAAAACGGGACTGCCAGCTGTGTTGGGGGATTAATAGATGGGATGGACTTGTTCTGGGTACCCGTTTGGGACTCAGAGTCCAGCCTTCCTTCCCTTTTGCACCTACTTTTTTTTTTTTTTTTTTTTTTTTTAAGCTGAGCAGTTGTCTATCAGGAGCTTTTTTGGGAAGGCTGAAGCTCTTGGGCTGAGGTGATCACCATTGTTATGTTTTGTTTATTTATTTATTTAATCAATCACTTTACAGCCTGATTCCAGCTTATCAGTAGGTGAGAAGTATCTTCTGAGAGCTAGTACCTGTGATTTGATCTGGCAGGGACAGATCTTTCCTGAATCTATTTCAGAATTCACTAAGTGAAGCCATTTGTTTCAGTCCCTTTGCTTTGTCTCATGAACAAAACATATGGAAAGGCAGGTTCAGTGCTGGGGTAGGCTAGTGGTATATCTTCTTTTAGCACAGTCTGTGTGCCACTCAGCATGTGCATCTAATAGGTATCTAATATCTAATAGGTATGCCCCAGGAAACATCTAAGCAGCAGATTTCTTCCTGCTCCATGCAGAGGATCACCTATACCAAGCAGCTCTCTCTAGATTCAGACACAAGACACTTGATACAAAGCAAGTGCTGAGGGCAAGTAACAAGAAGCACTTTCCTAGCATGTGTGAGGCCCTCGGTTTGATCTCAGTACTGACGAGGGAGAGAAGTGTACGTACAGGGTCTTGTGGGGACAATGGACAAGTGAATTTGGATCAAGTACTTGTAGATAGTGCTTTCAGTATTGCCTCTCTCCACTGAATTACTTAGGGGTGGGATTTACTTATTTGTTTGTTTGTTTTTGGCCTGTTAGCAAGCTGTGCGAGGTTCAGGCCAGGGTGTTTTCTGTGAGTAGAATTGCCCTTGGTATGCTGTTGTCCTTGCATTTGCATATTTCTTAGTTTGAGATTGCCTTCTGTACTCATGGAAGGCAGGTGGAAGAGACTGTACCAGTATTGAAGTGCTCCTAGTCAGGGGCAGCTTTTGGTGCTGCTTATACATGTATCCCTGGTTCTTTGAGAATCAAACGGGAAATGGCGATGACACTGGAGCCACTCCTGGATCCCATGTGTTTTTTGTGGCTGACTGGATGACCACCCCGATCAGTGATGGTTTTTTGTTGTTGTTGTTTGTTTGTTTATTTTTCCAGCAAGGCCACTATTGATGAGATTGACTTGGTCCTATCATAACACCATACCTAGAATAGATGGAGTAGATGGCTGTAGTGGGTTCTGAGTATCAGTAGGGTGAATGTGCATGTCAGCATGGGTTGCAGATTGTGGCAGTTAGAGGCCAGGCTACTGTCCTAGGGAAGATGCTAAGAAACTTCTGAGTAACATCTCCCACTCTTTCTTGATGGGCGCCTCACCTGGCACCCTAACTCTAGCACCTCACCTGATACTGTGTGACTGTGGACTACCATGAGGAGTGGGTGCTAGAATGGTGGCTGCTGTGTCAGTGTACCACAGGCCGGTGTACAACACTTAATGTCCGCTTTTCTGTGCCTGTGAGTGTGTGTCTGTGTGCATGTATGTATCTGTAGAACATTACATTGAAGTGATAGCTGCGGGTAGATAACAGGAAGGGATACTACCTTGAGCATCTAGAGACAACTTTCTGAGGTGATGCTGTTTAGGCTGAGGGCATAGAAGGTGCAAAGGAAGGAACTGTAGTGACTCAGTAGTTACAGATGGGAGGCAGGTGTAGGTCTAAATCTGATGGGTTGGGACAGGTCTTGTCCTGCTGCATGCACAGGGCTTCAGTGGTCTTCAGGTATTTCAGGAAGCTGGAGGAGGCAAATCATGAAAGTCCCTTGTGTTGGGTAAACCAATCCTTTGGCCCCTGAGAAAAAGTTAAGTTAGGATACATATTAGGACTGGCATTTAGTGGTTGGTTTGGTTAAGTTTCATTTGTGTTATGTGTTACACTATTTATGTTTGCCTGTGTAGAAGCATGTGTATACCTTGATGCCCACAGAAGTCAGAACTGGGTACTGGGTCCCCTGGAACCAGTTGTAAGCCACCGTGTGGGTTCTGGGAATCAAATCTGGGTCTTCTGCAAGAACAAGTGCTCTGAAACCACTGAGCCATCTTTCCAGCTTCCTATTTGTTGTTTTAGTATTTTACGTATTTTTGCTTTTTTGGGCTTTAGTTATATGAGTTTGACATTTTGAGGTTAATATTTTTTTATTTAATTTGAAAGCTTTTACTTTGAGTTTATTTTTACAGCAGTTTTTAGGTTGTTAAGAAAATTTTATATAAGGGCAGAAGATCCTGCTCTAGATTCCTTTCTTAATACATGAGAAATAACATTGTTACAATTGATAAACCTGGTGGCCTGTTCCTTCTGTCCTGGTTCCAGGAATCTGAGGCAGGTGGATCATGGGCTTGAGGCTAGCCTATGCTAAGACCAACTGTTGTAGTAGCTCTGCTGATGCTTTGTCATCATTTGTCAAAGGGATCTTGGTTTCAGACATTTACTAAGTTGGACAGATGTACAGTGAAACACTTCCCTTCCCATCATCACAGTCTCATTCAGAGCACACTCTCTGTCCTAAAAATCCACTGTCTGCTGCCTGTTTGTCTCTTCCTCCCCTGGAAACCCTCAATTCTCTACTGTTGCAGAGATCTGCTTTCCCCTGAGCATCATCTGGTTGAGCCAACGAGTCCATAGCCTGTTTAGATAGGCCTCAGTCATTCACCGCTCTGTGAGTTTTAACATGAACATGATGGTAGAGCACGTCTAGCCCATGCCCAACTCCAAGCCACCATAGTACTATTCTCTAATGCCTTCTTCTAGACAATTATCTGTTTGTAGCCATCACTAACATCTGAGGTTGGCCTCTCTTTGAGCAATCCACATAGGACACTGTCAGGCATTGTGCAGAGCTCTACAGCTCACTGCCTTTTTCCCTGCACTGGGATCCAGGGGGTGGTTAGTAGCATAAACATATTTCTCTGTTGATTTGTCCTATGTGGAGCGATACTGGGTTATTTAGGGTTTTTTAATGTTTACGAGCAACTGACGTCAAGGCTAAATCATAAGGATGTTTTGTAAGCATGTTTGCATGTATTTTTTGTTTGTGTTTGTTGTTTTTTTCCCATCCAGGGTTTCTCTGAGTAGGTTTGGCTGTCCTGGAACTCACTCTGTAAACCAGGCAGGCCTTGAAGTCAGAGATCTGCTGTCCTGCCTCCCAAATGGGGGGATTAAAGGTGTGCGCCACTGCGCCTGGCTGTGGGCATGGGTTTTCATTTCACCTGGGAATCCCCTAAGAAGAAATGTGGACATGTGTCTATCTTTAGAAGAAATTGTCTTGCAAGGCTCAGCCCAGGTGCTCCCATGCTCCCAAGGACTTCTGATCTGTCCAACTTGTTATAAAATTGCTTTGAGTTGTATTTCCTTGATGATCATTGTCATTGGGCATTAGTTTTTGTTGTTGTTGTTGTTGTTGTTTTGAGACTGGTTCTTTGTATGTCTTTGTGTGCATGTGCATATGTGTATGTTTTGTTTTTAAAGCCCATTTCTTTGCAGAGTTCTTTGCTGAAGGAAGTTGTTGAAAAATTGACTCCTCCATGCTTTATTACTGCTCCTTAAAATGTCCTTTCTGGCTCCCCTCTGTGTCCCTACTCCAGCATCACTCACTAATAGAAGTGCTCTGTCACTTTTTCATCTGTGTTTCACCTGGGATAAGGCAGCCAATAATTTTGAGTGGTATTAAAATGTGTGGTTGTTTAGGACTTGTCCTTTGTAGATTATCCCTCCACATGGAAAGTGGATAAGCAGTGGCAGTCTTCCTCTTGGTTCTTCTTGCCCCTCTAGTGAGGCTTTCTTATTCTTAGCTCTTTAGTGTCTAGTATATAGAGGTAGTTGGTCCCTGGGTGGATGGGTGTATATGGGGTATAGACAGATGAGTGGATAGATAGCATAGATGAAAAGGCATTTAAGAGGACAGTCGAGCAGATGAGTGAGTGGGTAGAAGAAGAGCTGACTAAGTGATGGACAGATGTGTACGTAGATAAATGAATGATTAGGCAAATATATGGATAGATGGATGTGCCAATAGGCAGTAGACAGTTGGAAGAATGAATGTAGCTGTGTGATAGATTAATAGGTGGAATACAGAGGGAGAGAGCAGGATTGATGAGTCAGTAGGCACATTTATGAGTGGGTAGCATGAGTTACTGTATGGGTGGTAGGTAAGCAGATGTAAATAAGTAAATAGATGTTCAGGTGGAAGAATAAATGGAACATTGTAGCTGCCATATCATGAGGAGTTATCGAGCTTCCTGTGTTGCGTGATTGCGTCCACCTCCCATATGAGACTTCACTGAGTTATCATATGAGCACTTGCCGAAAGCCTTAAAGTGTTTGGAGCCAACATGAAGCCACTATGCAGACTTTGTAATGCTAAAATTCAAGTCATACTCTTTTTCAAGATCTTGATCTAGAGCACGACTTTGTAGTTAAGGGGTATTTGGTGCTTCTCCTGACTTAGCACTGAGGCCGCTGTCATCTGCTTTACATAGAGATGTTTGAGCTGCACTTTAATTGAGCATTGTTGTATCAGCAGAGCCTTTCCTGTGTTTGTTCTGCTTAAAGCTATAGTTCAAATTCTTACCTCCAGACTTGAGCAGCGTAAATTCAGTATAATGTTAATACAGTATATATTTTCTCAGATAGTATAACATATAAAATCACTAGCTATCCTCTCTCCCTCCCCTCAATTAAAACTTTACTTTTTCTTGGGAAATTTATATGAATAAAATTTTAGATACAAATGTGAATTTTTACATGAGTATATTTTTTCTTCTACATCTTTAGAATCCCCTCATCTATGTTATTACTTTTTGGTCACTTTCCTGCATATGTCTTAGAAATTAAATAGCAAGGGTAGAAGCTGCTCTCATAACTGACATGCACACAGCTGATGGTAGGTCAGTCAAAAAAAAAAAAAAAGGATTCAAGCCAGGCATAGTGTCACACCCTTTTAATCCCTGCAGGAAGCAGAGGCAAGTAGGTTCTTTGAGTTTGAGACCAGCCTGGTCAACATATTGAGTTCCAGGACAGCCAGAGCTACATAGGGAGCTGTGGTCTTAAACAATAACAAAAGTGGGTTAAAACAGAGAGGCACAAAATGATAAACAGCTTGAACATGTTATAAAATCCCAGACTCGCACACATTCTTCCCCCATAGGTGGCTGGCCAAAACCTTTTCTTCAGCCTGGGTCTGCTTCAACCTGGATCCAAAATGCATAATTTGTTCTTTCCAGATTCAAAGCCGTGGAAGCTCAGGAGTCAGATTGATCAGTATCAGCCTTGACTGTCATGTTCACACCTGTTTAATCACTGTCTGAAAGCCAGCTACCTTTCCTGAGTGCTTTGGAAGCATTCCACCTGTATTTTTAGGTGCTTTTACTCCGTTTCAGTAGCTAAACAGTCTTTCTGTAATATATGTAATTGCTAATCTACTGCAGCTCCAGCAAACAGACCTCACTTGGTTGGGCCTGTGAACCTTACTCTTAAATGCTTGTAACCTTGCCCTACTATATGGATTATAGCGGGATAGGAGTACACTACTGTGGCAAGTTGGTCGTGAAGAAGTCATGTGAAGGTGGGTAGGCAGGTCATGTGGAAGATAAATAGTGGTGGCTCTGGAGTGTCTGTTGTAAGGCTCTAAGGATGAGGAATGCTTACGGATGGGCTTAGCAGAGCTGCTCTAGTTGTATATGACGTTCAGTAGTCACTCTTTGGGCCCAGGTCATTTCCTATATAAAGAGTACATGTCCCTTGATTGGGAAAGTAGCAGACATCTAGAGGCCCTGCCTCTGCCTACCATCTGGTGTGATCATGATTGACAGCACAGGAATGGGTACTCATGCTTACCACCCTTCAGATCTTATAACTCTTCATCTCTTCCATTCACATGAAGCCCTCAGCATTGTGTGCAATTTCTTTTCCCAGAGCCACCACAGTTCGTTATAAAGGGAGAAATCTGCGGATCAAGGCACCCATGTGTCGGGCCTTAAAGAAACTCTGCGATCCAGATGGTAGGTACCAGGGGAAGGGATAGCAAATGGTTTAGCTTTTATGGTTGTTTTCTTCCATTCCGTAATGGACAGACTGTAGTACTTTGCGACTGACTCTGTTTAATCTTATCCTATGACTAGTTCTTGAAGTGACATCCATGTGTCCAGTAAAAACCACTTGGTGGTCTGTCCATGACCTTTACAAATACAGAGTTAATATCAAGTTTAACCCTTGCTAGGATTCCTCTGTTCTCCTTGTTTCCAGGCACAAGACAGTCTCCTTTTTTTTTTTTTTTTCTCCCAAGTTCTCATTTCCCTGTGTTTTTCTGGCAAAGTGTTTTGTTTTCTACTTTGAGGTTGGTTTGCACTGGACTTTTTTGGTCTCCTTTCCTCAGGTCTAAGTGATGAAGAGGACCAGAAGCCAGTGCGCCTACCCCTGAAAGTCCCTGTAGAGCTACAACCACGGAACAACCACGCCTGGGCACGAGTGCAGAGCCTTGCCCAGAACCCACGCCTCAGGTGACATTTCGCATGAGGAAGGGCCCTGATGCCAGGCAGGGCATGAGGGTTTAGTGTTTGGGGTTCTCTCAGGGAATCCTAGAGAAACAGATTTTGCCCAATGTCCTACCTTCATAGGAGGACAGAGTATGGAGGTAACACTGTCATGAGAATGCTGGAGGGTGGTCTTGAGATCCCGAATTGTAATTCTGCCAGGCAAGCATCTTTAGCCAAGTAAGAGAGTATCACTGTGAATGCCTGCAGAACTGTCATCTTTCCTGTAGAGCTCCTACATTTCTTTCTCACTGGTTCCCTGGAGATTTGTGGCTAATATACAAACAAAGCACTGCCATTTCTTTGTCCATTTCCCATTTACAGTTTGTTAAATTGAAGTAAAATTCATACCACATTGGATGTTCACAGTTAATTGGCATTTCGTATGTTCACTGTGTTGTAAAACCTCTATCTCAGCCAACTTCCAGAATGCTTTTATCATTTCATGTGCCTGTTAGTCCTCACTTTTTCCAATGCTTATCTCTCTCCCACCTGCTTTTTATCCTAGTGGATTTGCCTCTTCTGGGCATTTCATTTTAATGGAGTCACACCCAGGAATCTGCTCTATTTGGCATCTCTCATTAGCCTACTATTCTGAGGCTCGTCTACATTATAGCACATGTCGGTGCTTCATCTCATCTATGTGTGCATTTTATTTTCTTAGGGATAACCAGGGTAGCTGCATCCCCCCCTCTTACAGACAAAGAGCACTGATGTATAGGTGGTGATACTTTCAGTGCTCACATCCTGTTCAAGCATTGCATTGGAAAGGGTTCCTGGGCATCTCTGTTATTTATAGCTTTATGTGAACCTACAGTGATTGCAACAGACAGGACTTATATTTAGAAATAGAAGCTGAAGACCCAGTGGATCCTCCTTCCGGTGCCTACTTACCTGTCATGGGGTTTTGGGACAGTCAGTCCTTAGAACTCTTTCAAGGGTGGCTTCCTACTATATAACCTTTTTTCATCTCATAGGATGATTGTGGAGCTACATCGAAAAGTCTCTAGCCTCATTGAATTCTTGAAGCAGAAGTGGGCCCTCCATGAAGTACGAATTGTATCTTTTTCCAACTGAAGCAGACCCTCCAAACCTGTCAGCTATTCTTGCTTGGGAACGAGGTCTTATTTTTCCGTCATTGCTGTGGGGCTCCATGGGACCCCGGCCCTCTAGGCTAAGGTATAGAGTCCTACCTTTTACCTACTTTCCCTGATTGTATTCAGCCCCACACACATCCATGTTTTGAGTAGCCAACTATCTGGCCCATGGGATATGGCCATGGTATCTCCATCAGTTAATTGGGTGGGATGTTATGTACACATTTCGGCCTCCTTTGTGTCTTTGGCTGTTTATTGGCCCTGCATGTTCCCAGGAATAGTTTCTGTCATCACATGTGAGTTTCCTGAATACACTGAGTGCCTGAGCCCGCACAGTTTGGTAGTAGCTTGAGGAAAGTCCCTAGGTGAGCCCCAGGAATATTAAGGGGCTAGTGTGGCTCCTAGCGAAGAAGGCCCTAGTCTGAAGACCATAGCTATCCACTGATGAGTACCTTGGTCACAGTGTAGTTGTTTGGAGTTACTCCTTGACAGTGTGCCCAGCGGAAGACACTTGAGGTGAGGCAGCTGCAGGGCTCAAGCACATTGCAGACCCAAGAGAAGGTGGCATTGCACTTGTTCCCAGGCGAGAACTGTACGCTGACACCACTGCCGGGTGTGGCCCGTGTGGTACACTCCAAGGCCTTCTGCACCGTACACTGGCAAGAGGGTGGCCGTTGCAAGCAGGGCACCAAGGACACACACTTGTTGCCTCCAGCCCAGATCCTGGGCATCCAGAGTGGGCAGGGAATAGCCCGGGGCCAGGTGAAATGCCAGAGGAGCAGTGCTGAAAGCAAGGGTGGGGGCCGGATCCTTCCCACTGCAGATGCTTCACAGAGTTCAGGGGAGAGTTCCCCTGAGAGTGCTCCTGGAGAGGGGACAGCTCCAAGTATGAGCAGCCCAGATGTCCCTGACAGGCCTCCTCATGGGCACCAGGACTCTGGACCACAGCTTGAGAAGACTCCTGTGGCAGCCCTTGCGGTGGGTGGGGACAGCCCCATTCAAGAGTCTGGGGCCCTGCCATGTTCCTGCGGCCAGCCCCCAGACTTGGAAGATGAACTCTCACTCCTTGACCCCTTTCCCCGCTACCTGAAGTCTTGCCAGGATCTCATCATCCCGGAGCAGTGCCGCTGTGCAGATTCACAGTCTGGGAGAGAGCACCCTCATCAGGGCCAGGTAGCTTCCCCGGAGGCCCTCATCCCCAGCAGCAGAGAGGTTGCTGACAGTTGTTCCCCTGGCCTGGACCCTCAACCTGGCACCGATCCTCAACCTGACCCCAGGCTTCTGCCAGATGTTTGTACTAAAGAGCCGGCAGATGCACCTCCTGAAGAGTCCCAAGAGAAAGGGAGCCCCTCAGAACCTCTGTTGTCTCAGGGACAGCCTGCTGCCCGGCCTTCAAAGGAAGTCCCTGCCAGCCAGCTGGCCCAGCAGCTACGTGAAGAGGGCTGGAACTTGCAGACCTCAGAGAGCCTCACACTAGCTGAAGTCTACCTCATGATGGGCAAGCCGAGCAAGCTGCAGTTGGAGTATGATTGGCTGGCTGTGCTGGGCCCTGAGAATCAGGCGCCTACAGCACAGGGCCAGACTGCTTTATCCCGCTCCCCACCCTCAGCCCTCCACCAGCAGCGCCTCCTGAGCTGCCTCCTGAGGCTCATCTCCACTGAGGTCCACCCTAAGATGGTGAGTAATTTAGATTAGCCCAGGACACCAAGTGCTTTGGGGTGAACCTGTTTTTGTATGTCAAGCCTGGTTCTTCAGGACTCCAAAGGTAACATAATTACCAGGGCTATAGGTACTATACCCAACTGCAGTGCTGATAGTGAAAGAGACCACAGCTTCAGCACTATGGGAGTAACATCTGAGTAGAGGTTATTGGGATTAGCAAGCTGCTACCATATAGATGACAAGTTTAAAAGGCTTCAGGTTTGGCCTTTTGTGGAGGGATGTGGTATGGTGTCGTTCCGAAGGATAGGAGGCCAGTGGAAAAGTGACAGGTTCTAGCCTTGGCTTCAACGGGAAGGTAAATGATGCATTTGGGAACAATATTGTGGAAAATGATGAACCAGAAGCTCTGCTGAGGCACCCAAGGTAGGCTCCTGGCCAACATCCTCAACACCACTGAGTTCTAATTAGAAACGAGATGACAGGGCTCAGGCACATGGCATCATCGCTCCACTTCACTATTCTGGAGGCTCAGAAATGAACACTTAGTGTGAGCCCAGTCTGAACTAAAAATAATAATGAACGCTTTTTAAAAAGGAAAGTAGGAATGAAGGAGTGGGGGGGAGTTGGGATGGGGCAAATGCCAAGCCCCCTTAGTGACTTAATGGGGCTGAAACTGAAGACTTTGAAGAACTGAAGAGGCGGGTCATCTGTCCTTTGTTTCTCTCCTTTTTCTGCCTAGCAGAACTGTGGTAAGTAAGTACCCCAAGGGTACTAAGATTCAATGGCCAGAGTCATCTAAAATGCCCAATCTAAGGTGGAAATACTACTCTTCCCAGAACCTAAATTGCCAGTAGAAAGAGCCAGGGAGCAGGGACAGATTTTCATTGTTGGACTTGGAGTGGGTGCTTGGCAGAGCAGATGAGACCATAGTGAGGACCTGGACAACAACTGTGGAGAGCATGTTGAGAAATAACCCTAGTGAGACAGGGTGTGAGTACTTGTGGGAGAAGAATTCAGAATTGAGGCATCTGGCCAGATCACCAGAGTAGGAACAGCAACAAAGAGGTAAAAATGCCTTTGTGAGACCCAAAGACTTAAAGCCATTTATACTTTGTTCTTTTTGTGTGTGAAAATGTGGGTGCACAAATGTCATGGCACACATGCAGAGGTCAGAAGACAGCTATTCAGGAATTGGTTCTCCTTCCACCTTGTTTTGAGACAGAGTCTGTCTCTTTTCACCCTGTTTTGAGGCAGTTTTCTGTCACTGCACTTCACTTCTCCAGGCTGGTGGACCTGTGAGTGTCTGGTCCAGTCTGTCTCCTTCTCCTATGGTGTTACAGGAATTCTGGGATTAGAGACGTATGCCCTTATATCTGGCTATTTACATGGTTTCAGTGCATCAAACTCAAACCTTCAGGCTTATACATGAAGTGCCTTTACCTGCTGAGCCATCTCCCTGACTCCTGAAGCCTTCCCTTATAAGGGCCTTGGACACCCATAAGGTTGGGAGCTGGGCAAAGGGCTTTTCTACTGTGACCAGTTTTCATGAGTGACTCTGTTTTCCTCCTGACTCACAGTAGTTAGTAGAAGTTAGCATGATTGTCTTAACTAGCTTTTTTTCTATGGCTCTTTATAAAGACAAACCCCTGCCTCTTATCAACACATCTTCCCTGTACCATAAGTCTGCTCAGACTTAACAGCAGATGGTTGGTCCTTGCTCCCTTTCTGCCATAGAGCTACTTCTCTGTTCTCATTGCCATATCCAGGCTAGGCTCTCCTGAGGAAAGCAATGAAATGCTTCAATTATTATCTCATTCCTTGGTGATCCATAACTTTTACCCTCCCCTTTTTCTTCTATTTCTTAAAGTTTGTCATGGTTCTATTCTGTTTTTAAGATGCCTCATCATATAGCCCAGACTGGCTTAGAAATCATTTTGTAGATCAGGTTGGCTTCAGATTCACACAAGTCTGCCTGACTGTGCCTCATAGTACTTGAATTAAAAGTGTGCAGTTCATACATTGCTTAGTGACTTTAAATCACTGGAGAATTAGTATTAGAGTATTAGTTGTGGTTAATGTTTATGATCTTAACACGTAGAAACCTAAGGCAGATAAATCATCAGACGTTTGAGGCCAGCCTGGGCTACTTAGTAGATACATATCAGCTAAGGCATATATGGAAACAGGTTGAGACCCTGTTTCAATAAAGAACACAACCGCCACCCAGAACCAGAGAGATAGCCAAGCAGTTAAGGATGCTTGCTGCTGTTTCAGAAGACCAGAGTTTAGTTCTCAGCGTTAGTGGAGGTGGGTAGGCCGTGTGTCCCTAAATTTATAAGTTGGCTTTGGGGCCTTTTCAAAGTTTTGCCACCTTAGGACACTTGTGGCTGAACCTTTGAATTTTTTGGTTGGTGTCTTTCCAGGCTTTTGAAGCAAACACAGCATCAACAGCCTCAGTCAGACCCGCCCAGGAAGAACAGTCCACAACCCCTCCAGGGAAGGTAGTGACCATCAGCTCTCGAAGTCCCCGCTGCTCTCGAAACCCTTCTGCCCTCCGGAGCAGCAAGACCTTCCCATCTGGTTCTGCACCTTGTTCCCCAGGTATGCTTCAGGGTACCCTGGTATTCTTGGTTCTGTGTCATTGGTGAACACATGGTCCCGCTGTCTACCTTCAAGGTCGAGTGAGCATAGCAGAGGTAGAGCATCACCTCCATTGGGGATGAACACAGGGGAGTGTCATACAGAACCTAGTTCATGTGATGGGCACAGGGTAGGGTAGCCTTATTGTCCGGCCACATTGGAAGTTTTGTGTCAAAATTATAAGCCTGTGCTTCTGGAAATGTATACCACGTCTGGCAGGCTTGTGAACTATGAGTAACCGACACTCAACCCAGGAATCATGAGGGTGCTTTGTAGCAGCACTACTACAGTGGAATTTCAACAGGGTTATTGAGAAATATATACTTTGTCGTTTTATTAATGGTCCTCTTTTCTACAAAATAAGGGATTTTGATGGGGTCAATAGTATGTAGTCTAGCCTACTTTTGTAGTTAGCTGTGTTATACAAATAGCTATAGGCACATAGCCACATTCTTTCAGATATACTTCTATGGCAACTTTGTTGCTGCCATGTGATAGTGAGTTGTTATAGAGACAAGGTGGTCCACTGAGTGTGTTATCCAGCCTCTACAGAGAGCCTGCTTCCTTTTGGTCAGCTAAGGATGTCCTAAAGTCCTTTTAGCTCAGAAGTCTTGGTTAGTTGTCCTGACTTCCTCCCCTCCGTCTCCCCCCCCCCAGCACAGAACAGTGGTAATGTGCTTTTCACTCAGACAGCCTGCAGTCACTATAAAGTGGGGCCAGGAAACAAAGGAAGAAAGGCTTACTTCCTAGCGGAGCTGCCTTTGCCCTGGACGAGCTGTAGGTGAGTATCAGCACATAATTCTCCCTTCTGTTCCAGGTTTGAGAAATCCTCCAAGGCCTCTCTTGGTGGCTGGTCCCTCCAGCACAGGAAGCAGTGACTCAGATGGTGGCCTCTTTGCTGTCCCAACAACTTTGCCACCCAATAGTCGACATGGAAAGCTCTTCTCTCCCAGCAAGGAGGCGGAGCTGACTTTTAGGCAGCACTTAGACTCCATCAGTGTGAGTGCTGGGAGTGCCAGGTGGGGTGGCTATGGAATGATTTGCAGGTAGAATGCCTGTTTTCAGGGCTCATGTGTTCTTTTTCTTATAGATACAGTCAGACTTTTTCTCACCAAAGCCCAAGAAACTACGGAAACGGCACTTACGAAAGCCACTGGTAGTCCAGGTGAGGGAAGATTACGTGAGTCTGCCTGTCCGCACTGTGTCTGTCAGGTCCATACTCTAGCTGCTGCACTAGCCAAGAGATACTGTTTTCTACATGTCTTTGGTTTTCAGAGTGAAATGAGGAAATTCTTGCCCTTGTCTTTCTTATTAATAGGAAAACAAAACTAAGAACAGAAGATTAATGGTATTCATATAAATAAAGCATTTATAGCATTGGTTAGCATGGAAAAATTATTTAGAGATAAATCTGGGGTTCTGGGTCACATGAGTGCCCAGCCTGGAGTATCTCCAAGAGCTGTTAGAATTTGGGCTTAAACAGTCAGGAGGCAAGAGTCTGGGCTGGCAGAAGCAAGGATTTTTAGAAATGTAGTAAGTGGTAGGAGAACCCGCAGATGCCATCTGCAAGTCATGGCAGACCCAGGACATACAAGGCACCCAAGAAAGAAGACTGCTCCATTTCCAGGTGAAAGGAAGTGAGGCACTAATAATGTAGTCATAGAAATGTGTGAATGTATGTAAATTTTTAGACCAGTTTCCTTTTTTTTTTTTTAGTCTCTTAGAAATCTTTTTCTCCAGGTCTCTGTGGGTTATGGAACTTGCCACCAAGTCTTAAAATTTTAGTTCCATCCCCAGGACCCACATGTTAGAAGGAAAAATCCAACCTGTAAAAATTGTCCTCTCATCTACGGTCATGTCATGGTGTATCTACACACTGAATAAGTGAACATAATTTTAAATTTTAAAAGAAAATTTTTATCTTCTTTGAGTTTATAAATAGGAAGTATGCTGAGCATAGTGACTGTAGGGTGAGACCACGTTACAAAACAAAGGAGCATTGCATGAATGGTCTTAGGAAGTACACATTCTAAAAACCTTTTAATTTTTGTTCATGTTCCCTTAGTTCTCAGCTTATTTCAGTGTCTTTGATCCTTTGTCCTGGAAATGGAAAGACACTTCCTGACTTGGTACAGGCTCTGTGGCTGCTGAATTCAGCATCTGAATATTAATCTAAACCCCATGGTCTAAACCAAATCTTTTTTGCTTTCTGAAGTAATATGGGGAGCGGGGCATAGTGTATGTGCAGGTCTGTGCATGTGGAGGCCAGAGGTTGATATCAAATGTCTTCCTTAATGCTCTTCACCTTATATATTGAGGCTATGCGTCTCACTTGAACTCAGAGCTCACAAGCACAGCTAGTCTAGCTAACCAGCTTTCTCTGGAGATCTCCTGTCTCTGCTTCCTGCAATCTGGAGTTAAGATGTGTTGCCACGCCTACCTGAAATTTATGTGGGTGCTTGGGAATCTGAGTTCCTGTCTCATGAACGCATACAAGTGCTTACTCCCTGATAAATTTCTCTAATCTTAACCTATTTTTATTATTTAAAATACACATAATATGTGTATTGTTTAAAATATCCATGTCTATATATCTATATCATAAAGCTCACTCATTTAAAGTACACAGTTGGGTTTTAGTATAGGTATGAAGTGTTACCAGCTCATGGTCTTTTCAAAGAACTGCCAACCTACCTACTATCTCTGTGGGCTTGCCTATCCTGAGTATTTCCGCAAATGGGATTGTATAGCATATGGCCTTTCCACTTACTCCTTTTGTAAATCAGTAAAGCTTTATTGACATAGAGCCGTAGTCACTTATATCTGTATTATCTGTGGCTGCTTTCCTACCATGTGATCAGTAGCAAGAGTGGTCCCAAAGCATCTGTCTGGCCCTTTATGAAAACACCTACCGAATACTGCCTCGGCCTTTGGAGTGAAGTGTGGGCCACCCAAAGAGCGTGCAGTGTTTATAGTGAGTTGACCACACTGTCGTGTTGAACAGTAGCTCTCTCTGGTCTCCAGTATTTGCTAGGAAGAGGATGCATGAGAAAAGGCCTCAGGGCACCCTGAATCTTTTATATATGAACAGAAAAGTATCAACTCTGGCAGACTCCATAGTGTCCTAATCCACTGTGGTTGACAGATCCTTGTCAGTGTTTCGGTGTTACCAATGTCAGTGCCGGTTCTTCTCAGCTAAATAGGTACTTAAGTACTTTCCAACCTTCTGTTCACATGCAGGAAGGAGAATGGAAATGGTCATTTTTTGTCTCCCAGTGGCTCTTGTTACAAGCAGTCCCTTAACTTTCTCCATCCTGCCCACCAAAATGCTTAGCATTTAGCTCTATCAGCCTACCCCATGGTTATAAACAGATGCCTATATCCAGTTGCCTGTATCCAGCAAAACCTAGAACATTCTAGGTTTGAACTAGGTTCTGACATTTTAGTTTTCCTTGGGAAAGGTCTTACCCAGCATTCTAGAGTGTTCTTTTTTTGACACTAATATCTTGTTTATTTGTTTTGTTTTGTTTTTTTGTTTGTTTCTTTATGTAGCCTTCCTTGACTAGAACTTGCTTTGTAGACCAGGCTGCCCTCAAACTCAGAGATCCACCTGCCTCTGCCTCCTGAGTGCTGGGATTAAAAGTGTGTGCCACCACTACCTAGCTGACACCGATATCTTCTTATCACCTTTACTATTCGCTTTTTTTTTTTTTTTCTTTCTTTCTCACAGAGGACACTACTGCCTAGACCTTCTGAAAACCAGTCCCACAATGTGTGCTCCTTCTCCATCCTGTCTAATTCTCCTATAGCCGGTAAGGCCAGGCGCCCCTGGGACAGCTTTCTCTGAATGTTACCTGAACATGCCTCACTGTGGCTCTCCATGGCTGTTTGTGTGACATTTCTAGCATATCTGTGTTCATTCTCCCAGCATATACAAGAACTGTGCTGGGCCTACCTGCCAGTGGTTGGGGTGTACCTTCTTTAGACGTGTGTCCCGTTGCCTTTGTTGGCAGCACCACTGAGTTCAGTTCAGTGGACTGTAAGAGCCCTGATAGCACTTATGAAATAAATGTGTTGTTTTATTTACATCTGTAAATGTAGCTGGTGCACTGTTTTGAATTAAGCCTTAGAGTGGTCTTAAGTGAACACATAGGCTTGTTGATTTATCTTGACTAATCTATTCTGATCATGATTCTTTGGATCAAATCCAGAGCTGTAGGCAGCAAGCAGAGTAACTAACTGTTGCACTGCTGAACTATGTTTCTAGTCCTAACAAGCCACTACCACTTCCTCCTCCTCCTCTTTCTTCTTTTAAGATTTACTTATTTTTATGTGTATGTGTAAGTGCCTTTATGGGCACCAAAAGCCTATGAAGGCCAGAAGAGGAGTCAGATCTGCAATTAGAGGTGGTTATGAATCACCAAGTGGGTACTAGGAAACAAATCTGAGGTTTTTGCAGTGCTCTTAACCACTGAGCCTTCTCTCTTGTCACTTCATGAGTTGTCTTCTTTTATTCTTTAATTGTATTTATTTTATGTGTATGTATGTTTTGCCAGCATGTATGTCTGTGCAATGTGTTCTTGTCTAATGCCCGTGGAGGCCAGAAGAGGGTGTTAGATTCCCTAAAACTGGAGTTACCAGGTGGTTGTGAGCCATCATTTGAGTTCTGGGGACTGAACTTATATCTCTTCCTAACTAGGAGCCTGTATGGTATGACCTCCCAGTCCCTAAGTTAGCAAGTGTTTGAAATGTTAAGTGGATTGCTATGATCCTAGCTATGTCTGTGAAGGAAGTCCTCCATAGCCCCATTGTGCATAGTAAGACATAGACAAACCAGTTGATACAGTTGCATTTGTCTTCCTCTCACAGGGAGAGGCTGGTTCCGGCCCATCCAGTCTTCTCTGACCAAAGCAGCTCTGTCTCGACCGATAGTGCCCAAGGTCCTCCCATCTCAGGCCACCAGTCACCTGCCCAGTAAGTCTGTAATGTGCACAGTGACAGCCGCTATGTGAGGTTCCTTAGTTGCTTTTTTTGTTATACATCTTTGTAATATTCTCTTCTTCTCCAAGGCATAATGTCTTACTGCTTTGCTAAGAGTATATAAATCGTTTGGCTCTTCACTGAAGAGAGGTGTGAGGGCGAAGCTGTCCCAAGCTCTCGGGGCACACATCATGGAGTGCAGTGTTGTGGAGCAGAGGTTGATATGTCACTCCTGTTGCCAGGTGCCATCGACTTAGCAGCTCAAAGTGCTGGCATCATCCCTGCCGATGGCTCATCTGTCATCTCTCCACTGTCTTCAGAACAAGCAACCACTGCCATCTCGGGGCAGGGTGACACTGGACCACACCAGAACAGCAACCCTGTTTCTACTGTAAGGATGAGTACATTTACAAGGGCTATTTGATGTTACCACTAGCACAGGTCATGGGCCTGGATTATACTGGAGCCTGCTATACCTTTAGAGGCCTGATGGTTAGAGGAGACACTGAGCCAGGGAAGCCAAAGTTTGAACATCTACAGTGGAGCACAGAGTGAGAGAGTTGAAGAGACATGTTTGCTGTGTGATGCTAAAGAATCCATTGCTAAAACATGCATAAAGGTGTAGCTCTGAATTTCAACCCAGTGGCTGATATCAGCCCATGTGTTCCCACCCAGGTGATAGTAAGTGCTTGGTACATCTGGGTAGAGAACAGCTCATAGAGCTTTTTTCATGAATCTCCAAGTTCTCTAATTTCTTGGTCTATTTGAGCAAAGGGTGGGTGGATAGACCCCATGAAGCTCTAGGGCCTAAGATTCGGTGGTCAGCCTCTCACTGAGCTGTTGAGGTTCCTCCTAAAAAACAATAAAAGATTATAAGTGCAGCACCAACAGGCTGAGAATTGCTCTCCATCATTCCAGCTTACAATATAATCCATTTCTGCTCCTGTTTGTAGGGACACTGGGGTGAGTGAAAAGAGTTTTTCTTTGGTTTACAGCAAGACAAGTATTTGGCTGATACTCCACCTCAGTGTGGACCACTCATTGTTCTTGTTGTTCCAGGGCACTAATGACCCGTTTATTAGCGTTCCAAGACAAGAGCAGGAGCCAATGACAGACAGTTTCCAGGTAGGGTACACTTTGGGGTTTCAGTGCCCACCCTCCCTGGGTGCATAGACCATGTTTCCCAGCATCGTCATTGTCCTTTCACCTGACTTGGCTATTGCTTCATGAGTGGATGAGCTATGCTGTCCCTGGTTACAGCTTCCATTATTTAACCCCATTTCTAAAGGGCTGGGTTTTATGGGCTGGGGAGCAGGAGGTTATCAGCTGGTGGCTTTCTGAGCATTATTCTCCGCCTAGATGCCACCAACGGAAGTAAGCTCACCCTATCCTAGTTTAACTTTCTTCTGAAGAAGTATACTTCCTGAGTATGCTCCTCTCTTGGAGACTTGTGGGTGAGGGGCTGCATTAGTTGCAACTGCCAAGCCAGAGGTGGAAACTCTACTCACTGTTACAAGTGCTGATAGGCACCTTGTGTGTGAACCGTAATTGTCCCCCTTCCCGCAGGGATCATCTGTTCTATCCTTACCTGAGCTTCCCAAGGCTCATCTCCAGAATGGCCTTTCCACACCTTTACCCTCATCAGAGAGCTCCAGCACCAGGCTCTCCCCACCCAATGTTTCTGCACTGCTGGACATATCCCTCCCTGGCCCACCTGAGGATGTTCTCTCACAGGGAGAACCTGCTACACAGATCAGTGACTCCATCATTGAAATTGCCATCAGCTCTGGCCAGTACAGTAAGTACAGATGGCCTTGCAAAACTTTCCTAGAACTAGGTTCTCACTAAAATAGTGCAGCCAAACTTACCATAGGGAACCTAATCTGCCTAAGTATTTGCAAGACTAGCTGTTAAAGTGTCAGTGTAACTGTCAGTTTTTAGCATTCAGTATTTGTCACTACAAGGTACCTCTGTCTGGCTCTGACAGGAGCAGTACCTGGGATCTAGGGCCACTAGTGGTCTGTTTGGGTTGCTCCTGACCTTGAGATAAGAATGAGATGGTTTAGAAGGTTCTTTGAAGGCTGGGGATCAGCTTTATGTGAGCGTATTGGGAAGGCGACTTACATGTTTGCAGGTAGTGCTTAGGTAGGAAGTAGCTGCACAGATGTCACCAACAGCCTGGTCCCACTTACTCTGTGTTGGTGTTCCTGGTAGCAATGGCACAGCTATTGCCTGCTCTCATGAATCAGATTTCAGGGTTCAGACAAACATGAACTCACAGCCTCTTAGCCCATGTGTTTGATAGGTCCTTGACTTGTCTGAACCTTGCTTTCTTAGCAGTAGACTGGGAACTGTGTGTACCCTACAGGATAAAATCAGGATCATCGTGTTTCCCATGGGGCTGGTGCAAACATCATAAAGATTGGCACAGCACTGTAGGCATAAGGTCTACCTGACCCTGCCTACTGTGTTCTTCATTGTGCCCTTCTTATACCATGAAGTTGCCCTGAAGGCTCTGTGATCCTTGTTTGTAGAAAACTGATGTCTTTTGGTGTGGGCCCAGTGCATCCTGGGTCTCCTGGGTTCAGTGGTACAGAGCCTCTGCCTCATGCTGCCTTGATAGGGGTCCAGGGAAGCATCTCTGACCTTAGTTTTTGGTTGACAGGTGAAGGAGTTCCTCTTTCACCAGCAAAACTGAATGGCAGTGACAGTTCCAAGAGTCTTCCTTCCCCATCCAGCAGCCCCCAGCCCAACTGGATTGCATCTCCCACGCACGACCCCCAGTGGTACCCCAGTGACTCTACAGATTCTTCACTCAGCAGCTTGTTTGGTGAGTGTTTCTGAGGGAATCTTCTTTCCAAGGTTGGAGTCAGGCCAGACCTCAGCACTTTTGTTATTTCTCAAGTATTTATTTCTGAGTTAACTTTTAAAGGTGTAATTTACCTATAAGAAAATACAGATTTTCAGTGTGTAGTTCACTGGATGTTAGTGTGCTTATAGACACTCTGAGAGCCCTCAGCCCAGTGCAGACAGAACATTCAAGTCACTCATCTGGTTCTTAATCCTTTCTTCAGTCTGTCCAGCTAGCCCAACCCCTTCTTACAGAGCTCTTGCAAAGACAGACCAGACTATCTTTATCTTCTCAATTTCTTTATATATTCAGTTTGATATTCTGAAGTGGATGTTGCAGCTGACTTGTGGTGGTGTTCTTAACCACATACGGAGAATTGCAGAATGTGGCTTTCTTCCCCCGGGAAGAGATTCCATTCAGTTCTTATAACTTACTACACTACTTTATAGGACAGACTGAAACAAAATCAACAATGGGTCAGTCATAGACACCACCACACACTGGCAAGACTGCTTAGTTATTCATACCTCTATTTAAATCCAAACCTGTCAGTATCCTGAACATGAGTTTGGGGGATGGAATCACTGAACCTGTTTGTTTTGTTCTTCTTTCCCATGATGCTACAGTGAATAAATCTCACTTTCTGCTTTTTCACTATTGCTTGTTTCTTTAGTAGGTGTTTTGAGAATGGGTAGCTAAGCTTAACTTTTACAGTTGCCAGGACCCAGGCTTTTACCCAAATAATTACAAACTTTTCCATCCTTGATTATGGGTACTGTGCCTGGTGGGGAATGCAGGGAACCAGCCTTTCACCAGTGGTTTTACTATCACAAGATACAGCGCAAACTTGAGCAAAAGCCACCTGCAGTCTGTGAAGTCAGTGCCCATCAGTGAGGATCTGTCCACAGAGAATACAATATAGGAGGAGTACGGCACCTTGAGGCCCTTGGAAAATGATAAAGATGAATATGCACTAACATCATGAGATGACAAAAACTTGCTATAGCATATTGATGCCATTGGTAGCCCTTGATAGAAGCGTGAAGATGGAGACCTAGAGCGACCTGACTGGGCTAGCTGAACACTTACACCTGACTCAACATTCTCTCCACAGCCAGCTTCATATCCCCAGAGAAGAGCAGGAAGATGCTACCAACTACTGTTGGAGCCAACAGTGGCACGTCTTTGCTTGGACCTAGCTTGTTGGATGGAAATTCAAGGGACTCTTTTGTGTCCAGATCTCTGGCTGATGTTGCAGAAGTAAGTGCAGGGCCATATTTTTGAACTTATTTACCTTCCCATTCCATTCTGGAGGTACTGTGGGTCTTAAGGAATGCTTATCAAGACTGTGTGTAAGGTAGAGCGACACACTGGTGTTTAATCTCTGAGACATCTGACAGCACTGAGACAGCTGATGGACCACAGCAAACTCTAAGTAGCAGCTGTCTCATAGGCTTCTTAACCTGGGAAGCATGGGATCAGGGTGGAGAGCCAGGTCACCAAAAGCAGGCAGAATGCTGTTGAATCTTCTCATGCCCTTCCCTTGCTGTGTGATCCAGTTACCTGATCTATACGCATAGTGCCATTTGGGAGTTGTTAGATGTTGCTTTATCACCCTTCCTGCCCTGGCTGCCTTTGAACAGCATTTTCCCATGATGTGTTGAGGCCATGATTCCGTGGAACTTGGGAACAGGTTCTGCTACAGTAGAGTTCTGTCCTTTGTCTATGTGTACCTTCCCATCTTTGGACTATGCCATCTGTCCCTGCAGTCATGCAGAGGTCCTCATGATGTCTGTGTGTCCCCAGCCAGCTAGCACTACAGGGCCAGCACTGGTGGGAGACGTGAGGACAGCTGTGGTGCTGGGTATAGAACTGCAGGAGAGACTTGATCAAAGTACACGCCAGGTGAGACAGATCCTCAAGCAGCATTTCCCAAGTTGGTTGCCTGGATATCAAGACCTTGGTAGTTATTCCAGGAGAGTTTTTTAGCCAGACACTTGAGGAAAAGCACAATATTCAAAATAGCTGTTTTCTTGAAACATGGTAGCATAAACCTGTAATCCCAACACTTGGGAGACTGAGGTAGGAGGATAACAGTGCATTTGAGATCAGCATAGGATTTAGAATGAGACCCTGTCTCAGAAAAATAAAAATCAAACCATAGCAACAATATAAAACTAAAACTTTTTCTTAAAAATTCATTAGTTTCTCAGTTTTCCAATGTGGAGCCATAGACTGCTTTGATGACTTCTGAGTTGAACCATGACATGTTTGGCAATTTCAAAACAATATAAGAATAGAGGAGCTAGGTAATTTTAAGAACCCTTACTGTGCGGTCATGGGACCTCAAAGTCCATGTAACAACTTGGCCAGGCAGCCTGTGCCTGTGCCAGCTCTAAGTGTGGTAAGGCACAAGCAGGATGATAGATTGGGGGTTGCTGACTTCTAGACTAGCCTAAAAATGTAAACCCCAGAATCAGGAGGGAATTCTGCCTCAAAGGAATTGGAAGGAATGATAGAGGACACCTAGCATAGGTATACACGCACAGACAAATATTCACATAAATAAGTAAATCCTTAAAGAAGAATAAAGACATCAATACTTTGACTCTCCCTCATGTCAAGGAAGATGCCAGAAGTCCACGCATCTTCCTTCCTTCCTTGCTCTTCAGTTTATTCTGTCCTTGTGTTGTGTGGTGATAGTGAGGGGTTATATCTGAGGACAACTTAGAAGAATTCTTGCCTGCTCTGTGAGCCCCAACGATTGAACTTGGTTGTCTAACTTGACAAGTGTCTTTACCCACTGACCCTTACACTAGCATGCTACCTTATGTTTTGAGAAAGGAAGCTGAACCAGAACTCATTGATTCTTGTAGGTTAACTGGTCAATGAGCTCCAGAGAGCCACCTATCTCTGATCTCCCAACTGTGATTACAGATTCTGTACCCTGATTTTCTATGGTTACTGGAGGTACAATCTCAAGTCCTCATGCCTGCATGGAAAGCACTTTACTGACTGAACCGTCTCTCCTGAACCCTCTCTTGTTCAGTCTGTGGTATTTCTCAAACCCATTCACAATGGCTTCTTTACTCATAGGGCTCCTTGTAGAGTAAATATTTCACATAAAAGACTGTTCTTTCTTTTTGGTTAGTATGGATGCTCTGAGTCCCTAGTTCCTATAAGATGGGCACTTCTGAAGCCTGGAGGGGTCAGGAATGCAGAGTTTCAAGCCAGCCAGACCCTCAAGTCAGCATTTGCATTTTTCCCCATGATATGGTATTCAGGACACAGGAACAGCACAAAATACATTATCTTTAGCAAGTGAAGGGCATACACATTCACCTGCAGATCCAGCCAGTATATTCAGCAGAGGGTCTTCCCAAGAACTCTACAGTTTAAAGGGCCCTCATCATCTGGAAGTGTAGCAATCATTTATGAATGCAGTGGTCAGATGGTAGGCTCTGAGTAAAAGTGATGGATGTGGTCTATGGTGAGAAGGGGATGAACGTATGGATGAGACAAGGCCTTGCTATGTACTTTGGGCTGGTCTTGAACTCATAAAACTTCTGTCTGCTTCAGCCTCAAAAAATTGTAGTACACTATGCCATCTTGCCAGCTCTCCTCTTTTTTTAAGAACAAGTTTCAGTTTGTTCAACATTTCCAGTAAAAATTTTAAAGTTTAGTTCTGACCATATTCATTCATGTCATGTAGATCACTAAGAAAAATCCATGCAAGTCTTACCAGATGTTAATAAAGTCACTATGTGGATGCAACAAAAGTCCCTGCTCTTCAAGAATCTTCCACTAGAATGGAGAGAGATGATAAACCATGACAGCTCCCCGGGATAATGTCTTACAGATTTCTTTGTCCCTCACAGTATTTCTCTCTCTGCATTGCTCACTGTGCTGAGCCTACCATCTTTCTACTGTTTTTGCTTGTTTGTTTTTTGTGGGTCTTTTTGTTTTTTGTTTGTTTTGTTTTTGAGACTTTCTCTGTGTAGTTTTGGCTGTCCTGGACTTGCTTTGTAGACCAGGCTGGCCTTGAACTCACAGAAATCCACCTGTGTCTGCCTCTGCAAGTGCTGGGATTACAGGTATGGGCCACTGAACCTGGCTTTTCTAATGTTTCTTAAATAGCTACACTCTTGTCTTCTCATGGCCTTTGCATTTGCTATTTCTTTGGATCGGAATGTTCTTTCCTCAAATGCTCTTCCATGTCCTTTGTATCCGCACTTGTGAGACCCTCACTTAACTCTTCTCAGAGGCAAACACTGCTCTGCTTGCTTTGGTATCTTCCTTCTCTTATTGGCTTTTCTGTGGACTGTCTTCCTCATAGAGTCAGAGGCAGTGGCTGCTGCTATAGTCTCAGCATCTAGATGTTTCATGTTCTTAGAGGCATTCTTAGGATCGTGTACAGAGTATGTACTTAGAGAAAGTCCATGTGCTTAGACCACAAAGGATTCTGAAATTTCGCATAAAGCAATAGGCTCCTTCCATTGACATTCTGCTCTGGGGCTCAAGAGCCTCTAGTCAGGATGGTAAGCCATCCTCCAACTAATGTCTTCTTGTCCCTTCTCTCCTGCAGGTGGTAGATTCCCAGTTGGTGTGCATGATGAATGAGAACAGCATTGACTATATATCTCGATTTAATGACTTGGCTCAAGAATTGTCCATCAATGAGCCTGGCCGCCGAGAGGTTCTTTTTGATGGTGGAGGAGGTGGTAATCCTGTTGGTGACCTCTCTCAATGACTGTGCCTTGTGACGTGGGCATCCTGGAATCCACAAAGGAGATCTACAAGGGGCTGGCCCTTGAAACTGTCTTCACAGTAGAGAAAATCAAGCCCAGAATCCTGAGAAGACAATGAGGAAGAGCACCTCTAACAGCATACGATACACAGCCCATAGGAGTCGCTGGTCATGGCCTGTCCAACAATCAGGGTGATACCATCCATAGAGGCCAGGACAAGCTCTGAGAAGGGTAGACATCAGAAATCCTTTTGGTATCGGAGCCCTTACTTGCAGTCCTATAGCCTGTGTGGCAATCCCAACTGTGTGTCTGCGTGTTAAGCCTTCCAGTGGGTCTCCTCCTTGCAAGAGACATGCCTGGTGTTCATTTTGTCTTGGAAGCTGTTAGTCTGTGTGAAGGAAGACCACAGCCACTGCTGCTTTCTTTCCGATCCTTTCCCTGCTTGGCTGTTTTGTTTGTACTGATGTTGCAAGAGACAGTGAATGTAGACCAGGCTCTTGCCTGGTGGTATTTTCAACCCAAGATACTTCCTGGATGCCTTGACAGTGAATCAGAGAAGGGTCCCAGAGTCATGTAACTAATGCTATATTCTCAAGATTCCTGACCCTCACCTAGTGCTTCCCCCATCCAGAGGTTTGGTTCTGCCTGTCATAAGAAGGAAGAAAGAAATTATGTCTCTTACAAGGTTGTGTGGATGTTTCATAGGGTCCTACAAAGCTGGTTAGAGATGGTTTTCTTGTGGTTTAAGAATCAGGAAACATGGACAGGGAATAGTAAGAGTCCTCTAGGTGGCTTTGCTCATTTTCTGTGCTTAAGGCCTAGTTCCTTCTAAGTGACCTAAGATACTGTTCCTCTCTGCTCACCTGCCCTCCACCCCAAATGCACTGCTGTGTCTACAGATTTTATGCGTGCTTTAATTTTTCATGTGCTATTGCGGTGTCTGAGCATGTCTTTGCCCCAGGCTGTCTCTCTTCCTGTTCTGGGATCTAACCAGGGTACAGGTGTCAGAGGGTGTGGGAAGAGCTCACAGTTTGATGGTATTTTTTCATCTCTCTTCTGGAGCCCAGTGTTGTTCAGCCCTCATGATTTTGGCCATCCTTCTCAGAATAGTGCCAACAAGAGTTTTTATTTCCCTCCGTTGCCCTCCCGAGATCCTTGTAACATAGTCACACTCCTGCCAGACCTAAAATGTTAGGAAGCCATAACTGTGGTCCTCGGTAAATAGGTGACAGCTGCACTACCCTCTCAGTGCTTACTCTCCATACAGTAGTCAGGGCTGACAGGTCCTTTCTTTCCCCCACCCCCCTTTTAGAACAAGGTTTCTCTGTGTAACCCTGGCTATCCTTTAACTCAATTCGTAGATCAGGGTGGCCTGGAGATCTGCCTGTCTCTGCCTCCTGAGTGCTAGAATTAAAGGCTTGTGCCACTATACCCAGCTAGAAAGGTCCTTTCTAACTCCTGAAATTGTCACGTCTGCTCTCTACCTGTTACTTGCCCAGTAGTCCTGAAGACCAGCCTAGGCCCTTATGTACCTCCATCTGCAGTGAAGAAAGGGAGGAAACATCCCTGATGGGACACTTGACCCACTTGTCTCACTGGCTACTACAAACCCCAGAATGTAGACTCTACTCCAAAAACAGAGGGTAGAGGTTCTTGACAGCAAACCCCTTTACCTCCCAAGATCTTCCTGCCACAGGTACTGCTAAAGGATCTGCCCAGATCCTGATGGGTAGACCCCTTCATCTGGCAAAAGTCAGACTCTTAAAGGAATGAGAAGAGCAGCACGCAGTGCTGTTGGGACAGACTGTGGTGAAGTGGCCAGTGTCTTCACCCAGTCGCATGCTTTCCGCAGTGCCCTGCTTACCTGAGGTGTTTAGTGGGTCTTGGGACTTTAGCATGGTTAGGACACCAGGCTCAGCTTGGGCCACTGCTAGTTGCCCTTCCTCTCCCACAACATTAAGCATGGGTGCTTGTAGAATCCTGGTGACTGAGCATATAGTACTAGGTAGTTGGGTTCCTGAGCTGATGCCCATCAGGCAGTGAATGCATAGTGACCTCTAAAAGGAAGTGAGACTGCTTTTAGGAGCAGAGACTACAGCCCTGTCACCCACCAAGCAGCAAGTCGGATGTGGAGTGGACTGACTCTTGTAGGGAAGCTGACAGGATGCCAGAAGTTTCCACTGCTCTAACAGCCAGCCACTCATGTGCTCCTCAATCACCCTATTAAAGGACAAACAATGACATCTGTAGCAGAGAATCAATGGGTATAACTCCTCCTGGCTTAATCAAATATCTATACATAAAACTTGGAAACTGTTAAAGGTTGGAGTTTTTTTTTTTTAAAGCAGCAAGAAAGCCTCCTGGGTTCTACATGTTCTTTCTCTGCCTTTCCATCAGTTTTGATGGTTCATGCTTACCTAGGGCTTCCTTTCCTCATTGGAACTTAGTGTGATATACATGCAATCAGTTTTTGAGAAAATTTTTTTGTTACTACTAATATTTTAGACTTGTTGATTCATCTTTTCAAAAGATTGGGAACCTGTATCTCTGGTGCTTGGCATGGATTGTGTCCTAGAGAAGATGCTCAGCCGAGCTGAAGTCCATCTATCCTGTCGGGCATAGTACTTGCTCAGGGAGTGGGACTTTGGTGACATTTCATCTGTTGGTCAGCCTTTTTTCCACCCTCTTCTTTTTCATTCCTGTGGTGACCTCTGCTGGAGGAGGTCTCATTCAGTTTGATGGCATTTTTAACTAGACCACATTATTAGAAATGGTCAAAACAAGTTTAGAGAAAAATTGTTTTATGTAATTTTTAAACATCTGCCAGATGCATTCATGAGGACATACAGTACTTTGTCTTAATTTTAAAAAAAAAATTAAAAAGGAAAGAAACCCACATCCCTTTCTCAGAGGTTTGCCTGGTGAGGTCAGTCCAGTCTTGGAAGCACTGCACCAGCCAAACCCGTACTCCCGTAAGATCACTGGCTGGAGACGCGCAGCCGGCAGGCAGAACTAGTGCTGTTTGCTTTGATAATCGTTAAGCCATATCATCTGAGGTTTCCGGCTTGAGATGTGAATTTGTTTTATAGACTATAAATATACAGTGTATGTATAAAGCAGAATGCCTGTCCTTCTGATTATTTTTTTGTACCATATTGTAAATTACATTATTTATTCTTTACCAATTTTTGGGAATAAAAGGTGTTTTGGTTATTTAATATAATAAACAAAAACTGTTAAACTTCAGCTAAAATTTCCAGTTCAGCTTGTAAATGTTTTTATTGTGCATAAATACATATACTAATACTTGATCTAATGACTGCCTTTTGTGCCTGCTTTTAAAGCCAGTATGCTTAGGGTATTCAGGTCTGGCAAGGGCACGGGGTGTAGTGAGATAAGCCCTAAGGCCTATAGGCACAGCAGGAGACTTAGGGTAGTCCTGAGGTGGGCCTCAAAGAATGACTGTTGGGTGGCCGCCGAAAGCAGGGAGGTGGCGGTCATTACCGCTGCTTCAGTTATGGGCATGGTCTGCGCTACCCTGAAGCCTTGCATCTTCCTGAGGGCTCTACAACCCCAGGGAAACCTGCCATCCCCGGTCCGGAAACTTTCTAGTCCCGGCCCGGGATAGGTCCACAAGGAAATGCAGATTCGCGCCCTGAGGCGTGGTGTTGGAGGGTGGTGCGAACTCTGAACCAATAGTCACGCCTGAAGCTGTGAGGGACGCCTGCTGCAGCCAATTGGCTGTAAGCGCGATGCGGGGGGGGGGGCCCCCCCCAAGCCCCCCTCTCATGGGGGGGGGGGGGGGGGGGAGGGGCTTGGCTTCACGATTGGCTGCAGGAGCATGATTGGCGCGGGAGGCGTCCAACAGGCTTGGGCGGGCCAGGGTACCTGCGCGGGACCAAGCGGGAACGGCCGCGCGGCGGCTGGGGAGGCACGGGGCGGCGGCGGACATGTTCCAGGGCGCGGACGGCCAGGCTGGCGGGTCGGGCTCCAGGTGCGCGGGCCGGTGCTGGGGCTCGGGTGGGTGCGTAGCTGCAGCTACGCGGCGGGCGGGAGACCCTGCAGATGCGGTGGGTGTGGCGCGTGCCCCCTGCGGGTACCGAGCGCATTCTCCCGCGTTGGCTGAAGCCGGGCCTCAAAGGAAGGCTGGAGGGTGAGCTAGCGGAGTGGAGACCGACCGGGCGGCGGGACAAGGACACGTGGCTCTCCCGGAGCTCTTGCTTATGCGAGACGCTAACCGGGCGCTGCCGAGCCCTGTTTGCCGGCCCCTGAGCCCTTTCCGCGTCCGGTTTCCTCTGCTTGGTCACGGCGACCTTTGAATGTGGCTGAGTGGTGGTAGCATTCTCTAATCCAACCCACGATCAGGTGTCCATCGGATGCACGACCTACCGGTTCTCTCTCACCGGGGACCTTCCCAACAGTTTCATCTGGACTCTCCTTCTGTCTGATCTGCTCTGAGTCGATAAAATATAACTGGTGTTCGAATGACTTGCCGAGCTCCAGGAGTTAGTTATGGAGTAGGCGTCCAAGGAGAGGATATTAGGAACAGGAGAAAACCCCATTTGATACCGGGGTAAGGGGGCAAGGGGAGCTGCCTGAATTGGTTGATGAGGCACAGTTGGAAGCCTCAGTCTGCGCCGTAGTAAATAGAAACCGTACTTTGGATGGCATCTTACCCAGGTCGGGGAAAGATAGCACCTAGTCGGATTGCTCCAAAGACGCACCTTGGTTTCTCCAGAATCTGTTAAGGTCCTCATTGCAAGTTTTCCTTTCTTCTAACCCTTTCTTTTCTCTCCTTGCTGAGGGATTTTCTTGTGCTGACCATTATGGTATTGCTGTCATTCATCCATAAAATCGGTAATCACGAAGAATGTGTTCCACATCTATTTCTCATGGCTTTATCCCACACCTGACCAGTTCCTAAAAGTTTTTCTGACGCTCACTATTGCAGAGAGGTCCAGGGGCATTGACACTGTCGAGGTGTTTTCTTTCTCTTTAATGCCATAGTCCACTTGTAACTGTGTGACTTTTCGTCCTAGCCTATCTCCCTTATATTCTCCTGTATAATTTGAATATTTCTACAAAAACATTTAAGGGCTATAAAAAATGGAAAAGGACTTGTAATGTACTCCCACATTGTGAATTTGGCCCTGAAATCTGAACTGGCTAATCTCTCCCTAGCACCTTCCACTCCATTGGTGTTATTGTAATAATGGCTGCTAGAAGCTTCTAGAAGACCACACTGTCCATTGTTCTGGGCCCTATTTATTGAAAGGCCTATTGAACTTAGTCCCATTTGTGAGCCTTTGCTGGGGCAGCCTTGAGACTTGCATTGCTGCTGTAAGCTGTGCAACTTGCGCTTGCCCCATTGTCTTTGGGATGCAGTTGGACACTGCTCCCGCCCGCGTGGCCCATTATCTTTGCCAGAACTTTGTGTGGCACCGATTTACTCTCCTCTGCTTGTTTCCCAAATTCAGATAAGTACACAAAGATACTAAATCTTTACTTTCGATACCCGTGTTAGCATTGATTTCAGTAGCTGCGCTTAATTTCCTGGGTTCCCACCACAGACTCTATTTGGGCCTCATCTCCCTCGACGGTGTTGAGGTTTCAGGAACACAGTGCTTCTGTTGTATATCACACACATGGAACACACACTGACACACAGATCTGGCTGGCCAGTTAAATCTGGAGCTTCAGGCAAAGCAATTGATCACTTGTGTTTTCTGTCTGGAATTGGGTGCAGAATAGCCACAGAGAACCTGGGAAGATAAGAGTGTAGAGTGAGGGCCTGCCAAAGTCAAACACCCAGCAGGATGTTGGTAGCTTGGAGAACTATCTTTCAAGTAAAATGAAATTATTAAAATAAAGCTAGGAATAGTCGTGCCTATAACCAGCACTTGGGACATGGAGGCAGAGGAATCATGAGTTCAAGGTTGTCATTATCTACTTAGTGAATCTGAGTTCTATAAGACTCTGACCCAACAACTCTTTCCAATCCCCAATAAGAAAAATGAAGTAGGAATTTTAGCTCTGGCTGACAGGCAACTTTATTCTGAATTTAGTTCAGTTCTAATGATTACAGGCCTCTTCTTTAAAAAATAAAAAAAGATGCTTGTAGAGCCAAAGATATTAGACCTGACACTCCAAGAAAAGCATGGGGACGGTCAGAACTATGTGATTGTGGATGGGCACAGATGTCAGGTAATCTTCACTTACCCGTCAGCAGCATGCAAATTTAAAAACTCTTGTTAACTCTTTTCTAACAGGCCCGGCCCCCCCCCCCCCCCCCCCACACCTTTTCAAATGAACTTTTTTTTTTAATCTCTTCCTCTGACCCTTCACGAAATAGTCACTGTTGATAGGGCAGGTTTGACACGTTCTCTTTCTCCTTCCTCCTAAGAAGACAGTGACCTGGCACTGGTCCAGAGACCTGTCGGTACCTGCCTGGCATCTGCGGTGTTGAATGGTCAGCCTTGATTTTCTTTTGAAGCATGACTGGTACATTTTGTCAGCCTTCTTGGGGGCACCTGAGATCCTCACTTTATACCGCCTTGCTTTAGAGAACTTGCAATCTGAGAGTTTCATGTACATAAAATTGCAATGGGTAAACTGCCTTTTAGCTCTTTGGATGAAACAAACACATTAAAGATACTTTTGTTGTTAACTAACCCTTCAGTGGTCACTGTTTTGCTTTTCAGGCAGTCCTAACCCCCCACTCATGTTTTTTAAGTTTGTTTTTTTTTGTTTTGTTTTGTTTTGTTTTGTTTTTAATAACTGAGGCCACACAGGCTCAATGCTTAGTCCTAGTGAAAGAGGGTGAAACCAAGTGTGATATACACACCTTTAATCCCAGTAGCGGGAGGCAGAGGAGTTCTGTGAGTTGAAGGCAGGTATGTTCTACATAGAGTTCAAGACAGCCACAACTTCACCAACTGCATGGATAGCATGTATCCAAAAGAGAGAGAAGGTGTGCCATTCACTTAAAATTCATTTTCAAGTAGCTTCTCTTCAAAATGTATGTACTGTTTTTATTTTTGAGATGCTCTTTGGTAGCCTTGACTGGCTATATAGTGGAGGATAACTTTTATTGGGTTTGTTTTTAGACAGAGTTTCTTTATGTAGGTAGCCCTTGCCATCCCGTAACTCACTATGTCACAGAGATCCAATTGCCTCCGCCTCCTGGATGCTGGGATTCAAGGCATGTGCTACCATGCCTGGCTGAGGATAACTTTTGAACTACTGATCTTTCTACCTTCACCTTCCATGTGCTGGGATCACAGGTATTAGCTTACGTGGCTGACTAAAAGGCATTTTAAAAGTCTAACCAGGTGTCTGAAAATATGCATATGAGTTCTTTCACCATATTACAGTTGTATACCTGTGCTCTGGACTTCAGGGCAGATCTTTGACGTAATACCATAGATCTTCAGCTGCTGCATTAAAAGCTGTCCACTTTTAAACTTCCCAGTAGTGCCTGACAAAGTTCTCAAAGTTTGGAACTTAAGGTGGATGCTGCTTATTTGACTAAGGCATGAAAACTACATTTTTGTGGGTGTTCAATTAAAAGCTGTGCATGTAGAATGTCAGAATTTAGAGTGGAAAGTTCCTTCCATATGCCCTGAGCTGAAGTAGCCAGTAGGTGGGGAGTTTTCTTTCTAGTCTAGGCATTTCACCGGTCACTGCGGGCATCTCAGCCTAGATCCCCACAGCAAGTCTTTAAGTCAGGAATTATCTTCAGAGATGATAAATCTGAGATAAAGAGAAACATGGAACTTGTTAAAAGATACATAAGGAGTCTGGATTAAAACCCAGTCAAAGGATCTAGAGTGTAGGCTACCCCCTAATGCTTTCCTAAAAGTCTCTGGAAAACACAAGGAAAAACCCTTTACCATCTGGCCTGACTCCTCAGATTAGAATCTGTAAGTTCTGGCTGGAGAGTCCCTGGCTACTATGGCTACTAAGTGGAAAGGTTGGTAGAGATAGGGATTTGCTTACAGGTAAGCTTCATAGCAAAATTGAAGACAGCATGGAGAAGAAAACCAAATAATATCTCTTCATCACGTGTTTTTTCCTAGCTGGAATCTAAAATGATAGCGGCAAAGTATTGAAACTAATTTTTTATCCTCATTACTATATAATGTGACTGTCAAAAAATGTCAAGTTTCTTAGGTCGTTCACCTTACCCCTACTCCTGTGTAGGTGACAGACTGGCCTTGGACTCTGAAGTCTGCCTTAGTACCACCATACTTTGTGATAAGGCCAGCTTTTACTCACATCATTACTTTTTGGTATTGGGCTAGACCATTTGTGAGTCTTAGAAACTGTTGGTTGGCTATAAGTGACTTGGGTTTGCTCTCTGCTTGTAGATCCATGAAGCCCCCAGGAGGAGAATCAAGTGATCTTTTTGGAAGTCCAGAAGAAGGTGTCCCTTCAAGCAAGCCTAATAGGATGGCATCTAACATTTTTGGACCAACTGAAGAACCTAAAAACGTACCCAAGAGGACAAATCCTCCAGGTATGGACTTTATGCTTATTAGATCTCTTGGCCTTTATTCTCTTCTGTTCTTTTTAAAATATTGTTTTAGTGTTCTGTTACTGTGATGAAACACCAGGGCCAAAGCAAGTTAAGGAGGAAAGGGTTTATTTGGCTTACTCGTCCACATCACTGTTCATCTCTGAAGGAAGTCACAACAGGAACTCAAACAGGGAAGGAACCTAGAGACAGGAACTGATGCAGAAGTCACGGAGGAGGAGTGCTGCTTACTGGCTTGCTCCTTGTAGCTTGTAGAACCCAGGACCATCTGAACAGCATGGCCCCATGCACAGTGGTCTGGGCTTTCACACATCATTCAGTAATTAAGAAAGTGCCCTACAAGCTTGCCTACAGCTCAGTCTTAAGAGGCATTTGAGGTTCCCTTTCACATGATTATAGCTTATGTCAAGAAGATGACATAAAATGGTTTTGGGTTGTTTTATTTTGCTTTTTGAGACAAGGTCTCACTATGTAGACCAGGCTGGCCTGGAACTCACAGAGATCTGCCTGCCTCTGCCATCCCAGTGTGGAGATTAAAGACATGTGCTGCCATTCCCAGCTCGTTTGAGTTTTTTGTTTGTTTGCTTGCTTGCTTGCTTGCTTGCTTGCTTTTTATTATTTGAAGGCAGTCGTCTGTGTAGCCCAGGTTGTGGAATTAAAACCTTCCTGCTTGTCTCCTGAGTGCTGGGATTGCAGGCTTGGAGGACATGCCTGCCTCACTTTGCCTTGTTTATATGGCATCTGGAGCACCTTATCACTTGTTGTTGACAGTTTCTTTAAAAGGAGTAAAGGTTTTCCTTGGCTGTCACTTTCTCTCTTGAATGTGACTGGAGCCTCTTTCATGATCCATCTAGTCAGCAGATACTTATCAAGGGCAGTTGCTGAGGCTTCTGGGTTGTAGGTTTCTTCTGTCAGAGCCCCTAATCTGAAATTTCATGCAAATTGTGCATTCAAAATTCTTAGGAAGAATATTTTTAATTCTTAATTTAAAAATGAAAATTAAATTTCAGTAGAGTTGACATTCTAGAGGGTTCACATCTTAATACAGTTCTTGATCTTTACCCTCAGGGAGAGTTTTGGGGTTTTGTTGTTGTTGTTTTGTTTTGTTTTGTTTTTCAAGACAGGGTTTCTCTGTGTAGTCTTGGCTATCCTGGACTCACTTTGTAGACTAGGCTGGCCTCGAACTCACAGAGATCTGCCTGCCTCTGCCTCCCTGAGCACTGAGATTACACGTGTGTGCCACCATGCCCGGCACTACCAGGCAGAGTTTTAAAAGGCCTTTTAGTTGGTCATGGTGTTATATGTCTGTTGTCTCAACCCTCAAAGGCTGCAGAAGATTATGGAGTTTGGGGCCAACCTGGGCAACATAGTGAGACATTTGTTCTATCCTTGAAAGACTAGAGGAGCTACATGTGGAATCCATATGCTAGAAAAGGATTAAGACTTGCTCTCTACATCGTGCCAGGTACTGGTACAGATAATTTTTGATGAAATACAAATAGACAAAAGCAGTAGTTTCAAAAGCTGAATTTTGCTAGGCAGTGGTGGTGTACACCTTTAGTCCTAGCACTTGGAGGCAGAGATAGGCAGGTCAGTTTGAGGACATCCTGGTCTACATAGTAAGTTACAAGACAGCCAGGGCTACCCAGAGAAACTCTGTCTCAAGAAAAAAAAAAAAAAAAGGCTGGATTTTTGTTTGTTCATTTAACAGTTGGTATTAGAGTTGCATTTGATAGGTGTTGTGCTATCTTGGCCTTCCTTCAGTCGAGTTGTCTTTGGGCCTATCCCCCTTCCCCCAGCAAGTCAGGTTTCCTAGAAAGCATGGTGTGCCCTTGTATCCATGCCACAGAAACTCATACCCCAACTCATTCTTGATGTCCACTGGGGTCACCTAGCCCATTCTTTGTATGATCACAAGATGTCGTGGCAGCCATCTTGTTGCTGTGACCAGGCTTTGGAGCTTGTTTTCTGTCTTATCAGGGGCTCCTTTGAAAATAGTTTGTGAGGATAGAAAGGCACAGCCACTGGTATGTCCATTACCTGAATGGCTTGGGTGCCCTGGGGTCTGTGCCTGGTCTTTCAAACTTAGTCCTACAGCACTCAGATTTGGGAGCTTGGTTGAGAAGCTTGTAGAGGCAGAGTATAGATAATTTAACAATGCGAGATCACGGAAGGTTTGCTGGAATTGCTTGCCTCTTGGTGTTTCAGATTCGTTAGTCTCCATGTTCCTTGCCAGTTTCTTGTATATATTTTTATAAATTATTCTCTTATTTGTCTGACAAAGATGTTTCTGGCTTAGTTGAGTGTTTCCAGGGAGTGTGCTTACAGACTTTACATATATTTTTTACTTCACTCTCACTACAACCCTAGAAGGTAGGCGTTTCCTCTCTTACAGCAGAAGAAACTAAAACCCAGGAAAGTTCCTTGTGTGACTGAACCCTACAGCTAGTCACTGGCAGAATTGGCCTTTGGATCTAGATTTCCTGTCTCCAGAGCCCGTGCTCTAAATTGACCTGAATCTGCGCATGATGGCGCATGCATATCTATAATCCCAGTGTTTGAGATGTAGAGTCAGAAGGATCAGGAGATGTAAGCCAACTTGGGCTCTATGAGACCCTGTTTCAAAAGCAAACAAACTGACCTGAATGTATCCATTGAGAAACTTCTGGAAGTATAACTGATGGATTATCAGGTACGCGAATTTAAAACACTTCACATTCTATAAAGGTTGTCCACTTTTATGCGTAATGTGTATTTGTGATTGATTCTGCCAATGTAGTGTTTACTTCTTAAATTATGTGTATGTGCCTGGGTGTGTTGTGTCTGCCGCGTGTGTGCAGAAGCCTGCAGAGGTCAGAAGAGGGTGTCCAGTCTCTTGGAACAGGAGTTGCAGGCATTTGAACTGCTGTGTGGGTTCTGGGAACTAAACCCAGGTCCTCTGCAAGAGCAGTGATGACCCCTAACCTCTTGTAATTTGGTCTCTAAAAACTTATTTTGAATTTAGTTTTTTCTTCAGTAAGCTACCATACATGCAGTATGACTGTTCCTTTATAGAGTCAGAAGTAGAACTCTTGTTCAAGATAGGGCAAAATGATAAGACTGTGCTTAGGAAGTAGCAGGTTTATGGTTTCAAGAAAATTGAGGATTGTGACCACCAGAGTGAAAGGAAAGGGACGTGTAGGATATTTCTGGAGAGCCAGTGCTGTTCTGTTTTAATTCTTTTTTTTTTTATTGAGCAGTTTCTGACCAAAAAACTTTGTTATTCCCTCTCCTCACTTTGCTGTGGTTTGGTTCTTCAACCAAAGTTTCACCTTGAACTTTTAATCCTGCCTGGTGAGTTTGGTTGCAAGCTGTATTGCTTTCCAGTTTAAACTAGCTGAATTATGAGTTAAAGGGAGCCTCTATGGACAGCCAAGAATGATGCCGGGAAGCAGGGTCTCCTCTCAAGGGCCAGGCACTCTTGCTAGTATGATCAGAATACAGAAGGCTCTTTATCTGCATGCAGTAGTTTAATTTCATTAGTCACATTGGGTATCATTTCTTTCGGTTTTACAGTTCAGGAGGTAGGGATACAAGGTCACACAGTTAATGAATGACTAAGCAGGACTCTGACTAACAGGCTGGCTGTGGGGCCCTTTACTCCACATCGTGTTGCCTTCTCCAGGCAAGAGTGTTCAGTGTGGGGATGATCCCCAGGAGGGCTGTGGCTGAGGTTCAGAACGTTTTAATCACTCTAAGGTTTTGCAAAGGTGCAGCTCCTCCATATCCCTAAGTGTTATTTCTCCCCTTAAAAAGGCCCTCACCCAGTCCCCACTTTTGTGCACAGTTACAAACCTCCCAGTGTAGGCATATTTTTTAAATCTATTTTATTGGGTTCTTTGTATCTCTCACCTTTCCAACCACTCCAACCCCTTCCATCACCTCAACACCAAATAAGAAAGGCAGAAGTTTGATGGGGAAAGAGGATATAAACCTCTATAAACTACTTCCTAGGGCCGTTGAGTTCCTTGGGGCAAGTCCAATCTTCGTCTCCTTAGGATGTCCCCAACTTGTCTCTTCTCTGGACCACTTGACAAACCAGCAGCAGGAGGAACAGCCTTGTCCTCTTTGGAGCTCCCCTTCTCTGCACTCTGGCACTTATTCCCTCTCCAGAGTCCCCAGAATTCAACTCTCTGCAGCTGACAAAGATCACACCCCTCCCAGAGCACCCAAGTAGACTGCTGCTGTGGACAGTCTGAAGAGCCCCATATCCCACACCTGGAATTAAAACAACAAAAAAAATATGTTTATATAACATAACTGGGTTTTTAAAGACACTAGATTCTCTTTATTTTCACCCTTTCTGTTTTATGCAAATAACTGCACTGTATTTTAGTGAGATATTATAAACAGACATTATCGATGAACTAAACGCTTTTCAAATCCAAATCTGTGGTTAAGGGTTTCTTTTGTTTGTTTTTTCCTATAATCTGGTGACTCTCAGCTGCCCTTGTCTGCCTTTGTGCTGAGCCTTGAGTTAGGACTTCAGAGCTGTTTCCTGATGGCAAGAAATTGTCTTGTATGTGCCTGTTGGACTTGCATTCACCTGTCCAAAGGCGGCCCGTACCAGAGAATCTGCAAACCCCAGGAAGCATTCTTTTTCTTTTGTTCTTTTTTTGTTTGTTGGTTTGGTTTGGTTGGTTGGTTGGTTGGTTGGTTAGTTGGTTTTTAGTTTTTGTTTTGAGACAGGCTTTCTCTGTGGCCTTGGCTATCCTGATCTTTGTAGACCAGGCTGGCTTTGAACTCACAAGATTCCCTGCCTCTGCCTCCCAGAGTGCTGAGATTAGGAAACATTCTTTTGGGGAAGCCATTGCAGCCAGAAACTTGTTCCCTTTGGCAGAAAGCACTGTATTTCTCAGTTACCACACTGGATATTTTGAGATCTGACTTTGAAAGTACCGTATTTCTATGAGTTAACACATTTGCAATTTTGAACTCTGAGGCTTTTAGCCCTATAATTTCTTTTTAAATGGCCAAATTTATGAATTAAACCACCTTGCATTTTGATGCTTTGAAGGCTCAGTTTGCTTCTTTAACCTTGTTGCCTTGCAGGGCTTTTTGCCCTCCTGCACAGAATAAGGTAGCAATCTGCCTTGTAGTCCAGTTCCTTTTCTTTTTCTTCCTGCTCAGTCACCAGGTCTGAACCCCTCTGTTCTCCCTTTTTGGACTCTATTCACTTCCCAAGAGCTTCTACCTCCACCTGAAATTTTTCCAGTTTCCTTTCATATCCATTTTCACTCACAATTTTTCCAGTTGCTCAGCCATTCTCCCAACTTTTTCTAATAGAGAATATAGGAGGAGAAGGGAGAAAATGTAGAAAATCTCCTTTGGGAGCAAAGCAGGATAGAACCCAGCAGCAGCAGCCACGATAAACTTTTCGTTGACTTCCTAAAACATGATGGTCATTCCTTCATTCTCTACACAGTAGAAACCATATTTCCATTATTCCAAGCCCTACGTCTGGGAGTCAGTTGTTGGTGTGTTCATTTACACTGACACCCAATACTGACCCCACAAAGTCAGTTGACTCCCAACAGACTGATAAGAAAAACAGTATGTATGAGTTCTGTACCTTGAGTATTTCTTCTAGTAAAAACCTGCTGATAGAGGAGATTCTTCCCTGGTGAGTGCATGCATCTTTCAAGTAGATGATGATGCTTATGGAAAGGCACTTGTAAACTCTGCCGCAGAACAAAAAAGTCCAGAATAGTTAGTTAGGAGAGCATTCTGGGACTTGGTGGATATCAGTTCTTTTTAAGTAACACTGCTAACCCCGAGAATAAGTCGGAAGGGCCATCTTTAGACCTGATGAGAAGGAAAAGACAGCCACCACCTTCTTTGGAGTGCCTCCTTCTTTCTCTGTACGCTGGCATTTATTCCCACTGGCATTTATTCCCCAGAATTAAACTATCTGCAGCCAACAAAGATCCTGCCCCTCCTAGAGCACCCACAAGGCAAATAAGTCTGCTGCTGTGAACAATCTGAAGCAGCCCGTATACCACATGTGGGATTAAAACAAAAACTAGTTTTGTTTTTTTGTTGGTTGTTTTGTTTTTTAAGCTTAACTGCATCTCAGTAGCTATACTCCTGACCCCTACAAGCCAGTATCTTCTGGAAGGTACTCTGCTCCAGCAGTAATAGCCTAAAAGGCCTTTTTCCTAGGTGTGTTAGCTAGCAAAAAAAAAAAAAAAAAATCCTCAAATTAGACTTTGGCGTTCCTATTGTGTGTTCAGGTTGCTCTTCAGAGTTTTGTGGTGACAATATAATTGTGATAGCTAAAAAGTAACTGTTTATTGATTTGGGGGCGGGGAACACACAAGGTCAAAACTCCTTCAAAGAACATGGGCTGCTTCTTTAGTTATATGGTGTTGTTTAGCTTCTCCTGTAGAGATGTAAACAGACTTCTGTTCACCCTAGATAGCCCGTCAGCAGCAGACCAAATAAACAGTCCATCCAGGTCCAGTTTGTGAAGCCAGCAAGTTTACTGGGTTGTTTATGGAACAGCAGTGACTGGTTACTTAGGAGCAAGGTTGACTCCAAACACCCACCTCACTGAAAAGTCATGTATTGGTATGGATGATAGCCTCCTAAAAGAACAGATTTAATCTCTCCTTAAGTTAATTTCCGTGTTCATTACAGTCTAACATTTTCTGAGGCCATGTGTACCTGAGGGTACAAGAAGGAGAGAGTAGCTGGCATTTCAGGCGAGGGGCTACTCACCTACCCATCACCTTCTGTAGGACACCACAGGTCTCTCTTGTTGGTGGTCTCACAGAAGTAATCACACTGCTTTGGTTATGGTAATGCCTTATGTTATGCCTGGAACACAGTGTTTTGTAGCAAATGGAAAGCTTAGTTGGCATATATTGAGTATTTACACTATAGACATCGTCTCAGCATTTGTCCCAGGAGCTGCAGCAACTTACAGAATCCTGTCCTTTTTATACAGTTGAGGAACTGGAGAGGTACTTAGAGCAGCGCGGGTGGTCGGTGGGATGAAGTTTCAGTTGGTATACTGGAGTCATGACTTTGATGGAGTCTGCCTCCATGAGGGCAGATGTTATTGGGGAAGGTGGGTGCTTTGAGGAGCAAAGAAATCAGTTGATATTTCGTACCATTCTGCCTAACGTAGGCATCCTTGCATCAGTCCAGGCCTTGGGCCATAAGATCTGCTTGAGCTGCACATTTCTATCACAGCTCAGTAAACTCACAGCGGGCAGCAAGGTGTATGTCTCTGAACTTGTTGGCATCTAGTCCTCACTAGCTTTTCTAGCCAGAAGGAGGTCCGAGTAACAGACTTTGTTTTCCAGATTATAGGTTCACCATGAATAGCCGTCAACTAGACATACAGTTATTTGCTTTCAATCTGCTAGGGAACTCTGCATCATTAACAAAGGAGACTTTTCCACTGGAAACTTTGCACTGTTCAGCATTAAGGAAGCTCTGGGGAAAGGTGATGTTTTATTCCTTTTCCCTTTAGAGTCCAGGCCCAGGTCAGCTTGACTGTACACAGGAAGGCTCCAGCAGACCAGATTAAGGATTGCCTGAGATGTAAGGCTTCATGGATAGTCATCCCTTACTGCCCTGAAACTTGGGAAGGCATTAAGTCTTCAGTGAAATGTTGTATCTCAAGGTGACAACAGTGGTGTACGATCTGATGGTGCTCTCATGTTCATTCTTTTGTGATTGTTCCCGCAGGGGGCAAAGGAAGTGGTATCTTTGACGAATCAACTCCTGTGCAGACTCGACAACGTCTGAACCCACCTGGTGGGAAGACCAGTGACATATTTGGGTCCCCAGTCACTGCCACTGCGCCCCTGGCACACCCAAACAAGCCCAAGGTATGGACTACATTCATATAGCCAGACAGGAGAGAAAAATAAAAGTTACGTCAAGTTCACTTTTTTGAAAAGTTCCAAGGTAGGCATGACATGTTGTTAGGAAGAGACAGAAAGACAAGTGTTGGTTTTTCTGAGTATGGTCACTCATCATTGGGTTTTGAGTCACCTGGGATACGTGTCAGCATCAGTATGAGTAAAACCATGGGGCAAGCAGTTGTGTTCCCATGTCTACACAGCAGCCACCAAGCACCTGTGTGTGCTACCCTACTTTGTCACCTGAGCACATAGCATAAGGGTTTGACTCTTGTTGATATTTTTAAAGGAAAGATGATGAGTATGTTTTTCCTCTAGTACTGGAGGTTAAACCTGAGGCTTTATACACCCTAGACCACTGCTCTAGCCCTATGGACTGCTCCAAGATAATGGCTCTTGATGGGTTTTATTCCATACGAGGTTGAGCTTGTACTAGTTATCTTGGAGGATTTATGGCGCTTGGCCAATGGGGACTCTCAGTCCTCTGATTCAGTGAAGGTATCTGTGTAATAAGATAAACACGATCTCTTTGCCTGCCCTCCAGCTCAGAAGCTGCGGGGAAAAGAATACCAGAGCAGTGTGACCTTTGAACACATGGATTAGATCTAGGGCTCAGGCAGAGGCTTATCCACAGCTTCTCTGTGTCCCAGAACCTATGCACCAGCGCCAGCACATGTATTGGGTTGAGTGACAAAGAACTTTAATCTTGGCCAGAGCACATTGATAATGAGCCCGGGACTATATTATTGGTACAGTTATTATCAGTATCTTTTTGTTTTATTTACTGTTTTTTATTTAAGCATTTCTTAGATTTTTAAATTTTATGTGTATGAATATTTTGCCTACCTGCAACTACAATGGATTAAAATTCACCAACTATCTTGCATTTGTCAATTCAAAAAGTAATAACAATAATTTTAGAACTTTAGAGAATGCCAGAAAACCAACTCATTAAATTTGTTGCAGGTCACTGAGTTCAAGGCCAGCCTGGTATACATAATGAGAGCCTGTGTAAAAACAAAGGCGGGTCTTCTCACTAGCCCAGGCTGACTTCAAATTCTTGTCATTTTGCATGAGTGCTGAGATTGCAGGGTTGGGCCACCATATCTTGATGAAACTAAATATTTTCATTATTGATTTTTTTTTTTTTTTTTTTTTTTGTTATTCTGGGGATAGATAGACTTTGGGCCTTGTGCATGCCAGGCAAGTGCTCTACCCACTGAACCACACCCCAGCCCTAAATTTAGGAAAATTTACAACAATCGTATGTTCTCAGAGCTTCCGCACTATGGCATGTATCAGAACTTCTTGTTTGACAGCATAACAATTGATTGTATGGCTGAATTATTTGGTTTATCCATTTGTCTGCTCATGAGCCACACATTCAAATGTGCTGTCAAAACAGGAAATTCTGATACATACTACAATGTAAATGAAATTATGAAAACATGCTAGTATTATAAAATTTAACTTTTCTTTTAAAGAAATTTTATAATTTGAAGCCTGGTGTGGCTGCTTTTTAAAAAGCTATATCTTTGGCTTTTTATGAAGAAATAAAATAACTGGGATTTTGAGAGGCCATTGTTTGGACAAGAATGACAAAGAGCTAACATCACTTGCAGTACAGCGGGTTACATGGGGCTCAGGCACGATTCTCTATTTTGCATTGTTGGGGATTAAACCCAGAGAGGCTCTTGCATACTAGAGAAGCACTTACTACAAAGATTTAAAGGTTAAAAATAAAGCAGACTCTATAGTGCAGGCCTGTAACCCTAGCTGTTCTGGAAGCTTGAAGTTCAAGCCCAGATTTGGAAAAATTTAATGGGACCCTGTCTCCAAAGTAAAAATGACTGAGGATGTGGCCTGGTGGTAGGTAGAATGCTTCCCTAGCAGGCATGAGGTTCTAGGTTCAAGCCCTAGGTGACACAATTAAAAATAGACCAGTCCTTCATCCCTAAATTTTGATTGTCTAACTGAATGAGCACTAACCTGGTGGCTTGTCTTGTTGCAGGATCATGTTTTGTTGCGTGAAGGCGAAGACTCTAAATCTGGCCTGAAATGTAAGCTTATTTCCTGCCCCTACTTTGTGGTTGTGTCCTAGAGAAGCTGTTAATGCACTTGGTAGCATTGCTCTGTGCCTTCCAAGACAGCCAACCAAAATAAGTATAAGAGAGTGCCTAAGAGTAGTTAGTGTTTAAAGAAGGCGGGGAACATGAGCATAGTTACTTCTGGTAATACTTCTAGAGTTTTCTTTCCTTCTAGAACATTGGTTCTCAGCTTTGCTAATGCTACAGCCCTTTAATACAACTCCTTATATTCAGCTGACCTCCAGCCATAAAATTATTTTCATTGCTACTTCAAACTGTAATTTTTCTACTGTTATGGATTGTAATGTAAATGTCAGTGCTTTTTGATAGTCTTAGGTGATCCCTGTGAAAGGATGGGTCACCAACCTTCTTACCAAGAGGTTGTGACACAGGGTGAGAACCACCGTTCCAGAAGCTCATTGTGCCAGTGTGAGGAACAGGGACCCAGAGGGCTTCATGAGTTTGCGACCAAGTGGGACCAAGTGCAGTTCAGAATGTACTAGCTATGCCGTGACCATGACTGTCAGTTAGCACAGCTTGTTTCATAGTGTAGCAGCTGCCTCTCACAGACATGTGTTGACTTTGTCCCACAGCTGCAACAAACTCCACACCCAGAGGAGAGCAGAGCGAGAAAGGAAGCTCAAAAGAAGCAGAGCATGCCAAGATACCGGAGCCCGCACCTACAGTTGATAGTCATGAGCCTAGGCTGGGGCCACGCCCTCGCTCCCACAACAAAGTCCTGAACCCACCAGGAGGCAAATCCAGCATCTCCTTCTACTGAGAGGCTCCTGCTCTGCCTGTTACCAGACAGACACTCAGATAGGGTTTTGAATGTTAGCGTTTCCTTTAACCCAAGTGAGTTGGGGTGGGAGAGGGTTTATCATATGTGTGGGGTTGGCTGCTCATAGGCCTTGTTGTTATTGGAAGAGCTTCACAGAGGACTGTGCCTTCTGGACTGCCAAGATACACATGTGTGGGGATAAAATGGAATGTTCTGGTGCCTTCTCTGTAGTTGCTGTAAGGCTGTAGGGAAGGCAGAAGAGATGGTACCCATTAACAAAAGGATCGCTAGGGTCTGTCTTGTCCTTGTATCAGCAGTCTGCTGGCTCTTGGGCATCTAAGAATGGTTTAGTTGAAAAAGAACCCAGACTACCTATCCCTCAGTGTGGGATGAAGGAGAAACAGAAACAAAGAGTGAGGTCTAGCAACATTAAGCCTTTTCTTTCAGGAAATGCCTATCACTAAATGTTTCCACCTCAGATTACCTCTGAACCCTGATGTCTCCTTTTCCTTTTTCCCCCCTCAGTATGTCACCCTGTAGTGTTGAAATATGATTGCTCTTTTTGGTAGCAGTCAACAGAAAATCAGTTATTCTCAGTCTTGTCCTGAGCATAAGGTTTTGTTTCGCTTTGCTTTGCTTTATATACACTGATCCTCTGAGTTGTGCCATACCTGCACCTAAAACCATGGCCATGTCTGAGGTAGCAGCTTGTCTTCCTCTACAGTGGGCTTCGTATCCTGATGTGCCAGATTTGCTTGTGGGTTGTTCTTTTGTTTCTCTCATTAGCCTTAAGCCTAGGCCTTAGTTCCACAGCCATGAGGGGTTCTCCCTGTCCATGGTTTTTCCTATACATGAGGTCTCTGGCCTCCACAGGGCATAAAAACTACTCATATATGTCCAGATATTGGGTGGGTTCCTGTTTTTCCCATCTTGCTTTGTTCCTGTAATTGGGAGGAAGACCTGTTGAGGGACGTTGGGTTGGTTTCTTTACCAATGTCTGAAAAAGGTGTACTTAGTATCAGCCTCTGGTAACTACCCATGGACTGCATTCAGCACCTAGAACAGTGCTGCCCTGGTGCACTGAAGCAGAAGCATTGCCTGAGCCACTTCAGAGAGCTCTTGGCCTGCTCATAAGCCGTGCTCCCTCTGCAGGCAAGGGCATCAAGTGTTTTGGCAATAAAGGTCACAACTGTCATTTGACAGCAGAGACACTGGGCTCCACAGTCATGTCGCCACCGCAGTTGTTTATTTCATCTGTCAGGCAGATGTACCTCCTGCTCAGCTCTTATGGGCTGCAGCCTTAGTTCCTTGTTTCCCCTCTGGTGGCATCTAGGAAAGGGACTTCTGAGTGCTGCTGCTTTTGTTTCTAGTGCCTACAGAGAGCTTCATAGCAGCCAGAAATGTTCTCAATAAATTTTGGGAAAGCAGCAGTCCTGCAGCCACACCTGGATGCTTACGTGCCTGCAGGAGCCACCTGCCAAGCTCTGCTTCCTACGTCTGGCCCATTGGTGGGTCTGACCATGACTTTGTCAACCAAAGAGTCTTGCCCTTCATCTGCCCTGTATCCTGAATCCAAGAAACGTGTATTACATATGTTGTAATTCTGTAACAGCTCAAAAAGGCTGTGGTTCAGTCACCATGAAGATGCCATTTGGAATTCAGAGCATTTTTTCCATTTAAGAAAATGTCACAAATTATGTCTGCTTTATTTAGCCCAGACACTAACTTCTTTAGCTTATAAGGAAATGATACAATGATAGAAATAAACCTCTTTTTGTAACTGCTCTCAAGTAGAAAATGATTTGTGAATTCCAAACTGGACTGTCAAGAAGGAATCTGACGTCACTGCTGGCCGCGCTCTTAGCCCAGTGAGAGAAAAATCTCCAAGCTCCACCTGCTGGCCTGGATGGCCAGGAGGATATAGGGACCTGCAACAGTGACCCACAGCAGCAGCTGCCTTACTCATCTCCCCTATCTTTCTATCTCTCCCACTGAAGCCGGGCTCAGAGCATGGTATACAGTGGTAAACAGTTTTCACCTGCATTAAGCCTTAAAACTTTTTTAAGTACATTTGGTGCCATCATTTTTCGAGCACTATGTCAGAACAAGAAACCAGTCCTTACATCATAATGTGATTTTGATAGGAGCATTTTGTTACTTTTATGAGGCAGAACTGGGTTAATGGTTGAATTAAACTTAGTAACCACATACAGCCTGTGTGTATTTATGCGTATGCGCTCCTCCGTAGTCCATTTGGGGGTGGGGCACCGCAGTGCATGAACTTTTTCCTAGCTTTCCATTGGTAAAGTTTACTTCTCCCTTCCTTGATCTAGCAATGCCCAGCATCTTTAATATTTGAGCAGGGACCGGGCGTCATGGTGCACCCCTGGATCCGAGCACTTGGGGAGGCAAGTGGTTCTCTGTGAGTTCGAGGCCAGCCTGCTCTACAAAGTAAGTCCAAGACAACCAAGGTTACACAGAGAAACCCTGTCTCAAAGGAGAAAAAAAAATGAGCAGAATTAATGACTATACTATAATCTACTATTTAATTTTCTGTAGTTAAAGTGTATTCTTTAGGACAAGTGATAGGAGAAAACTTCATCTGCTCCAGTTTGGCTTCAAATGCCCCAGTAACAAGCCTTGTAATGACTAGGTAGGGTGTCCAGTTATCCAGCTTTGTTAGGTTGAAGTCCTATAGAAAAAAAAAACAAGTTGGATGTCTTTACTGTGTATTTATCATCTGTTTTCATATGTTCAACATGCAAACTCCACATCCTCTTGCAAATTATATGGATTGTGGCAGAGTGCCTACTTGGAGAGTCTCAGAAGTTTCACATCATTCTGAACGTGGGACCAAGCCTTAGATAGAAACCAGTGCGTCACAAGCCAGGAATGGTGGCACATGCCTTTTCCAACACTTGGGAAGCAGAGAGAGGCAGGTGGATAGAGTTCAAAGCCAGCCTGGTCTACATAGTGAGTTCTAAAACAGCCAGGCTATGTAGAGAAACCCTGTCTCAGAGAGAGACAGACCAATGCCTCACAAAGAAAGCCAATGTGTGTTACCTGAGAGACCAATGCTTTACCTGAAACTTTTTTTTAAGATTTATTATGTATAAAATGTTCTGCCTGCACACCAGAAGAGGACACCAGATCTTATACATGGTTGTGAGCCACCATGTGGTTGCTGGGAATTGAACTCAGAACCCCTGGAACGTCAGTCAGTCAGTGCCCTTAACCACTGAGCCACCCCTCCAACCTCCTGAAACATCTTTACTTGCTTGTTTTTACATATAGTGAGTTCCATGAACTGGGTTAGAAACTAACAATACAATAGTTAGCAACTATTCCAGCCCTAGGCAGACACTGGATAATGTCAGCATGTCTCCAGAGGCTAGACAGCAGCTCTGTGATAAGAGTAAGGAAGTGAAATTGTCACAGTTGCCATCTCAAAGCGCATTCTTAGGTAGAAATAATACTGGAATTCTATTTAACTCCTAAACTAGCATTCTATTCTTAATTTTTAGCATTCTGGGAGATGAATAAGGAAATATTCTTGTCTTAGGTGTAACTGTCTAGTGCTCTCTGAAATCCAACTCATGAAGGGATGAAAGGGACATAATGGATATTTGGGCTTTGGCAGATATTTAGGGACATGATTAAAGTAGAACTTTTGATCACTTTTCTATTGCTGTGATAAGACATGACCAAGTCAACTTATAGAAGGAAGTGTTCATCTGAGCTTATGGTTCCAGAGGAGTAAGAGTTCATCATGGCAAGCAAGCATGGGGCTAGAGCAAACAGAGCTGACATCTTAAACATCAAAGTCTGCCCCTAGTGATATACCTTCTTGAATAAGGCCACACTTCCTAAGCCTCCCAAAACAGCATAGCATCATCAGCTGGAGATCCAGTATTCAAATGCCTGAGGCTATGGAGGGACTTTTTACTTTATACTTTCTATACTTTAGTGCCTTTTAATGGGACAAAGTATTCTAATAGAGCTTCCAACATCCAGGATCAGTTAAACTATACTAGTCAGTAAGTACCTACTATGTGATTTTATTAAAACTCAATCTGGGTAGCTGGAGAGAGTACTTGATACTTTTGCAAAGGTATGGAAGTTGGTCCCAAGCACCCAGGAAGAGTGGCTCACCACCACCTGTAACATTGGCTCCAGTGAATCTGATGGCTTCCTTTGGATGGGTATCTGCATTCAGACACACATATCTGCTACAAATGAATAATTTTTAAACCAGGTGATGGTGGTTTATGCCTTTCATCCCAGCACTTGGAGGCAGAGGCAGGTGGATCTCTGAGTTCAGGCCAGCTTCGACTACAGAACAAGTTCTGGGTCAGCCAGGGCTGTTATACAGAGAAACCCTGTCTCAGGAGAAAAAAAAAAAAAAGTTTTTTAATTCATTTTATTTTGATTAGTTCCAAACAACAAACTTGCCCTGATCGTGTTAATAACAAAGGAGCACCAGAACTTATGGCACACACTTTTAATGTCAGCACTTGGGAGGTAGAGGCAAGCAGATCTGAGTTCGAGGCCAGCCTTGTCTACATAGTAAGTTCTGGGACAGTCAGATATATGTAGAGAGATATATATGTCTATAAATAAATAATAAACTGTTTTTTCTTGTTCATGTTCAAGTCAGTTGGTCTGTCCCTGTTTTGGTGGGAGGCGTACTAACTTTAAGAATTTACAGGAGTGGGATATGGAGGCACACACGTTTAGTCCCAGTACTGGGAGACAGAGGCTGGTGATCCCTCTTGAGTTAAGAGGACACCCTGGTCTACAGTGTAAGTACCAAGGCTACATAAACCCTGTCTCAAACAAAGAATCTATAGAGTTCAAGTTTACAGAGAGACCCAAAACTATCCCTAAACACAAACTTGTACTGTAACTTGTTTACCAGGAGACTGGAAGGATGGCTCTGAAATGGAAGTTTTGGTTTCTTTTAAAACTCAGTTGTTTTATGTTAATAGGTTTTTGTTTTAATCCCAAGTGTGGGATTTTAGTTTGGGCTTTAGTTTGTCCACAGCTGATAATTGCCACCTGCTGGTCATGGTTTTGCCAGCTGGTAACGACTTGTATTGTGCAGCATGGAAAGGGGTGTGAGGGATATAAATCAGAGAGCCCAGAGAATCCAGGCAATTTGGCAAGACCACAGATGGACGGTGTGGTGGTGTGATTTGGAGAGAAACTGAAGAGACGCTTCATGGCACAGCGCCTTAGCGGAGATAGAGGAGACTGCTGGCTGCATTTGCTGTTGACAGAGACTGGCAAAGCCCCCAAAGAACCCATCAAACCTAAACAACCAGGAGAAGTGAAAGAGTCTGCACTCCCTTTTCCCACTAACCTTCTCTCTCTTACCTAGAGTTAAAGAGTTGGTGGAAGGGAGGTAGAGGCACAAATAACCCAAATAAAGTAGTTTAAAAAATGAGCACAACGTGGCTCAGTTGTTAAGAGCATTCATTGCAATAGCAGAGGACCTGGGTGGGTTCTGTTCTCAGCACCCACGTGGTGACTCGCAACCATCTATAATTCCAGTTTTGGAAGGTCTAATTACCTTTTCTAGCCTGTATAGACACCAGGCACTCATGTGATATACACATATGCAGGCAAAACACTCATAATATACAAAGCTAATAAATAAAAAAAATTAAAGAATTTCACCTATTTGCCCCGATTACTAATTTTGGCAATTTTAAATTAACTCAGGTGGGACTGGAAAGATGGCTCTGTGGGTAGAGCACTGTCTGCTCTACCAGAGGACCCACGTTCTATTTCCAGAACCCAATTGGCACAACTATTAGTAACTCTAGAAGAGGGTCCAATACCCTCTTCTGCTTCCTGTTGGCACCAGGCACAGGTAGATGAGACACTCATACACATTAAGTAATAAACTAAAACTAGCTTGGAAACATTCAAATACTACTGCAATATGCCCCTTTCACACTAGCCCACTTCCCCAGTCAGTAGATGACATATAGGCTCAGCTTTGTGGGCTTGGAAGGTTAAATCAGTATCGATACCCAGGCAACCTGAAAATGGTCACTGAGAAGACAGCTCAGACATGGGTTTAAACCAATAGCAAGTCTTTTATTAGCCGGCTGGTGACTACACTGGTTGGGATCCCATTGTAGCACTGAGCCTTTCTCAGGTGAGTTTTGAAGCACAAAAAACAAACAAACAAAAACCATGTTCTGGATTGATATACTTCAATTAACAAGAACAGTTAGGCAGAAGCAGAACTACAGAAGCAAGGTTAGTACACTTGAGAGACTTTCCCAGAACTGGACCCTGATGGATTAGGTCTTTGTTTTCGCTTTTGGCAGGTGGTGCTGTCTACATGAAGAATTTTACAGCCTGAATGGCACTTCCAGCATGGGGTCAGTTGTGCTTACGTCCGGGGCCCTGTTACAGAACAATCTGTTAGAGTAGGTACTTAGCTATATAGTAAGTTATGTGTGGAAAGGTGAAGGAATTTTCGCTCCAGGTGATGGTATGCGCACGTAGTCCCAGCTGAGTGGCAGAAGCCAGGCATAGCAAGTTCCAGGTCAGCCAGTGCTACACAGTAAGACCTTGTATATGAAATTGTGCACAATGTTTGTTCTGGACGTCAGCGACAGGAGGACTCATTGGGTTGGTGTGGTAAGAGTAAGATCTGGTGGCTGCGCGTTGGTTCAGCAGTTCAGAGCACTTGCTCTTACAGGAGAGGACCTTTGTTCGGTTCTGACCATCCCATACAGCTGCTCACAACTGACTGGAGCCCCAATTCAGATGCACTCTCCTGGCCTCCATAGGTACCAAGCACGTATGTGGAGTAAAATATACATAAGCCAAACTCATACTCAAAATAACAAGGTAACTTTTAAAAGAACGTCAATCTGAGCAGGCAGGGGGAAAATGTTAGCAGAAAAGCACTCAGTATATCACGGGGCATCACAATTCAAAGTCAGGCTCATGGTGTTCCCAGCAAATGTACACATATAGATCAACTCGCTTTATATTCCAGCCTCAAAGTACTGCCACGTATAAGGACTTTAAAACCGTGGTGGGCTGTGCATATGGAGCACTGCTTGGAACTAAGCGACCAGCGGAGCGGGAAACAGCCAGAAACAGAAGGACGCATGTCGCGTGAATATCGAGGGCGACCGGAGTATATTAGAAAGGTCTGCAGACAAACCGGACAGAGGTACAGA